CACTCCTCCAGGTCTTTGAAGGCTGCAGCTCTCCCTGCTGCAAGTGGTTTTGCACCACCTGGCTTTATTTTATTTTATTTCTGGTTTTTCCCCTGTTGTTTATTACGCTGGGGGGTGGGCGGCTGCATGGGGGCGAGCTGCCTGCCCACTGACCCCCTGCACAACCACAGCCGGCAGCTTACCTCAGCCTGCTCCTGTAGCAGCAAAGCGAACATCCCAAAATTCAGTGTTGGAGGCACGTGCCAAGCAGGTTTACGGCAGAGAGAATCGCATTTTGTTCTCTCAGGGCTATAGATTTTTGGTAATAGTTCACAAGGATCAGAGCCAACTGAAACGCCAGTGCTCTGCAGCTGAGGAAAGGCTGCAAAATTGGCTTCGTTCTGCATCAGAACCAGCACCAGTACCTGCCCTGCACACCCCCAGCACAGCCCTGCTGTCAGCAGCATTATTTATTGAGCACAAACGCTTGTAAAGATGAAACTGGACAGAGCAGACCCTAGCAGAAGAGTGAGCCACTGCGTTAGGAACCGACAGCTATCCCCAGCTCCACTCCAGCCAAAAACAGAAGTGCAGAACTGGTACCAAACCTAACAAAACAAACAGACCAAGGAAACATGATTCCAGCAGATCAGTATTTTCTGATGCAAAACACTGATTTTTCTGTAAATGCTCTGACTTTCAACACTGCATTAATATTTGAGACACTTGGGTGCAGTGTTCTTTGGAGTCTGTAGCCTTCTCTTGGAAACCAGGTCATTGTTCATGATGCTAAAATATCCTAAAATTCTTTTACCCGCCCTTCCCTACCCATGGTGCATAATGCTAGACTGGATGGTGACTGACACACCAGCTCATTTCTAGCCATGCTGTTAAAAAAAAGTAATTCAAAACTGTCTTGAAAAACTAGTTACTAGGCTCCTGCAGGATTTATCTTACTTGAAAGAGGGACAAGGTAGGAAGCAATCAGTAACTCCAAGCACAGAGGCCTTTTTGGTGTATCTATCTCTGTCGATAGATGGATAATCAACCATTTATGAACTAGTTATCTTTGAAGCAAAACTTACTTGGAAGGTAAAATTAAGTGTGCTTCAATATTTCTCATCATATTGTGACCACCCCTGTAAAGTGATCCTTGGAATGTAAGGATACGAAGGCAGTTCTGGCATTTAAGATCACCAGAGAAAAGAAAAGCCCGTTCCAGTTCAGTTTATAGGTTTTCCTACTCAAGGGTGCTTTTTAAGCTTTGTCTCCACAGACCCATTCTCTCCGAGCAGGCACAGTCTTGCATTTATTCTCTGCGAGGTACTGGGCTACTTCTCTACTCACAAATCATGTTCAGGAGCCTGTGAAAAATTCGGATAGTGATCATACTGTAAATAAAGCAGGACCGCACAGCTGACTAACTGAGTGCAAAGCCCCACAATGTAAGCAGCTGTATTTTAATGCCTACCAACAGCTCCTCACGCAAATTTTGCAGCACCAGCTCATACAAACAGAGCACAGAAACGTTCCTGTGAAGCTGGCAGGCCGTTTCTTAAAGAGTTTTAAGATTATACCAGAAATTCACAAGTTTTAGAAAGTAAAGGGATTACTTTTATAACTTTCAAGGGTTGTGATTGCTTTGTTTTTTTAAAAAAAAGCAAAAATTTGACTTCATGACCCAGCATATTCACCTCTGTTTGTTGCTCAGTTTTAATAAAAATTCCACCTAATTGTCTCCTTAGTAGCCTTAATCCTCTTTGATAATAAGTTTGTACAGCACCATGTTTAAAGCCATGTATATAAGGCCATGTGTATAAAGTTATTTGCATCTTTGTATATAGACAGCATTTTTCTTTTATTATTAAACCACAAGGTCCACTAGCTTTCCTGCTGTTCTGCAAAGCCTGGACAGAACACACCCTGGCAGAAGAGCACAGCTTCTTCCCCGAGTTCAGCTGTCCCACAACCAACCACGCTCGGTGAGCTAGCTCCTCAGCAGCCTCACAACATGCAAGATTTTTAATTGGGGGTTACTGAAGGGATCCTTGCTTCCACTTGCTCGCTCACTGTAGGGAACAAAGCCTGCGCTGGCCTCTGCCACCTACGTGCCCCTTGCTGGGTAGGTCTGAGGCGAGTGACACGAAGCACAGAGACACGGCGGGGTTCACACGCCTCCCGTCGTCAGACTTTCATAGAATAATTAGTTTTGAACTATGACGAGAAGCAAAATACAATGAGCTGTGGTACCGGCTTCTTTTGGGAGCCCTAAAAACTGACCTAGAAGAGTGAAAGCAATGGTAGTGAAAATACAGCCAAGTTACCAGTTCATGAACGCGCACTTCTAGACTGTGCCATGAGCATGGAAACTCCTCAAAGGTTCACCCCATCCCCATGGCCCCAACCTCACCCCATCCACATCTGAACACCAGAGCAAAGGAACCGAACCCAAACAGGAATCCCACAGCTCAAGGATTCCACTAAACCAATGCTAAGCAAGCATGTTACAAATCCAACAGTTTGAGACTTTCAAGCCAAGAGGGACAAGATTAAAAGGCCCACCCAGACGTATTCCTGCAGCTGCAGGAACAATTCACCTCTTGTGCCTGCTCCCGACAGATTATAAACGATCACGGGAGGAAAACACTGCCCAGCCTACTGCATTTCCTGAAGGGAGGGCAGTTGTAACTCACTGAAATCTGTCTGAATCGATTACGTGCATAACAACGTACACCGAAATAACCTAAGGCTCCATCTAGACAAGGAAATGAATTTCCAACCGTATAAAAAAAAGCAAATTTAAGGAAGCTGGGTCTATTCTTGTACCCTACTGATCCTGAAAATTAAGCCATTATCTTTGTGCACTGAATCTACAACATGTTTTTGAGGAGCATAACTGAAAGCAATGATCAGCCACATTTGACACATCCTAATTGCTTGCTGCTTTCACGCAACGAGGCTCTGAGCCTACAAAGTAAATAATTACATCATCATCTGCTCTTCTCACAGTAAGCTGTTAAGAATTAGAGGTCTGAGATCCTGTATTTTTTAATTCCAAATTCCTTAGTGGCCTCTTAAAAACAAAAACCACATAAATGAATCAATACAATATATAACCTTCCTTTTTTTTTGCCACAGGAAGCCTATCAAAGCCCTGCATCTTCTTAAGCAGGAGATAAAAAGTGACCAACTTTCTCAGGGCTGCCACTTCCCGATTTATTTCGCCTGGTGACGATGCCCCTGTGACCAGTTGTACATTCAAACTCAGTGAAAACATTCGAGGTGAGCACTCCGTATTTAACACATTCTCTCTGCATGCCTGATGTTGTGCATTGCTTTCAAAAACACTGAGAGAAACCATTTCAGGTATTTCACAGAAAACAGACAGACCAGTAAGCACAACAGTGTCAAGGACAGATGTTTCTTTTCAGGTATCTCTGTGGCTCAGGTGACAGCACTGACGCTCAGCAAATGACTGCAAAAAAAAAGCCAGCTGGTAAATGAGGTCCTAGCCATCGAGCAGCATGATGCAACATTGCACTGCTCCAGACCGAGTTACTTCAGATGCCAGAGGTAATGAATTATCTGCCGAAAAACAATCAGCGGACTTGCAAGCGAATCCTGCATTCAAACAAAAAAAATCATCTGGCTGGCACTACAAATAGCTATGTAAAGACGCAGCCTTATCAAAGCGAAAAAGCCTGCCTGGGATGTTTTCCAGCCAGCACTAACCTCGCACAGAGCTGAGCTTTTCGCCGTTGTTCTAGGTCAGCATGTGTGACATTCACACAGTCGGATTCACAAGAAGAAAGGCTGGAAGAATTAACAGCTCCAGCCGGACGACCCGGCAGCTGGAGCAAGAGCGCAGCACAGAAAGCAGTCCCAGTTTTAAAACTGGTTTAAAGAAACCACCCAAACCTTAAAAGGACCCCCCGGGACCACAGTTCCCAAACCAGCTCCATTTGCACGCATGTTGGCAAACAAACAGCTCCCTGCACCACGCTCAATTTTCCTTTTTCAGGATCACATCAAGGGAAGCCTTTAACCTGTCCAGCCTTCAACTACTTCCAGGCAGGGTTTGTTATTGAATCATTTTCTCTCTTGAACTTTTGTCTCCTGTTTACAGCGTTACATTGGCGTGGCTGAAGAGCTCATTTTGGAAGCAGCAGCCTATTTATTCCTGGACAGCAGATGTCACGTCAGGGAGAGCTCAAAGGAAACACCGAGACAAGTTCATTACGAGGTACTGCTGTCGGTTCAGGAAAGCAACACCAAGAATCACTCCTGATCTTAACCCAGATTGCCCTCAGCTCTGTCATGTGGTCAGAAATCTGTATGACTTGACAAGTATTTTAAAGAAAAGCTATGTTTACAGAAACTGAAAACCTAGGGGATTACTCAGGGATAAGTCTCTGCTTCGGAATTTCTTGCCTCTGTGCTAGTTTAGCCAGTTCTCCTACTTCCATCCCACGGCTTTACGCTTGGAAGTTACCCAAGTCACTGCTTCCAGAAATCACCCTGAGGTTTTAGAAGTCCCAGAGCACGCTGGCATGAAGTCTGTAAGACGATACAGATGTGGTTGCCCCCAGTAACAACAAGAATGTGGGGTTACCGAACTCTGGAAGGCTAAGCTGGAATTAAACAAATTTAATTCTTCTCGCATGCGTATGTTTGCGAAAAGGAAATGTTATGAGATGAGTAGTGCACTAACGCTAACCCAGGCTGCAGATCCCTGTCTCTTTTTGAAAGTTTAAGCGAAGGCCGTGTATTTTAATCAAGAAAATTCACAGCAAACAAAACTACTACCTGCCTGCACTGAGCGTGCTTTGGCCAAATACTTCTAAAGGGAAATGCTAGACTAGAGCAGCCAGAAAACAGACAGTGAATTTTAGCACATATCCGAAATTCTGTCCTGCAAGTGCTGCAGAGCGATGAGCGCTTCTGAAAGGAGCCCTGAGTCTAAACAGATAGCACAAGCATCATTAATATCCAAATTAAGTAAGTGGCAACATAACTTGTACCTTTGTAACCATGCAGAAGTTCTGGTGGCATGTTATTTAAACAAAAGCCTTTTTTCCTGCTGTTTTTCCCATCTTGCTCGCCTCCCTTTGAGGAGATCTGGAAGAGAAACATCGAGGACGTGACTGCAGAGCGACAACCAGGCTCCTGCAAGCCCCCACAGCTCCAGCCTTCAGCCGGGGCCTCAGGGGCCCCTCGAGGCTCCCACATCGCGCTGAAGCTGAGCTCAGCGCGTTCACCTCGGGGGCCGGGGCTCAGACTGCTTCCCGCAGCCACCCGGCTCCAAAGGCAGCCAGGAGAAGGGGAGAAGAAGGAAAGATAAGAAGCAATTTGCCACAGCACGGCGGAGCTCCAGTGCCTCGCAGCCTGTGCTGCACGCAGAAAGGCCTGAGCCCTGTCCTTGTCCTGGGCCCTGCTGTGGTCTTGGTCCCTGTCCCCTGTCCCCTGTCCTGGCCCTTGTCCTTGTCGCCGTTCCCATCCCATCCCTGTCCCTATCCCTATCCCTGTCCCTGTCCCCATTCCCATCCCTGTCCTTGGCCCCACTCTCACCCTGTCCCTGTCCTGTGCCCTGTCCCTGTCCCCATCCCTCTGTCCCCATCCCTGACCCCATTCCCATCCCTGTCCCTACCCCGATCCCTGTGCCTGTCCCCATTCCCGTCCCTGGCCGGCTCCCTGCCTCTGTCCCTCTCCCTGTCCCCATCCCATCCCCGTCCCCCTCAGGCTCTGCCCCCGTCCTGCTGAGGCCCCGGCCCGGCCCACCCGGCCCCACGTAGCCCCGGGATGCTGCTGGGGCCGTGCTGTCAGGACGAGCCCCCCACAGCTCCCCCCAACCCCCCTCAGTCCCCTCAGCCCCGTCCCGGCCCCGCCATTACCTGGCCCTGGCCCTGGCCCCGCCGCCGCCGCAGCCCCCCCGCCCCGCCCCGCTGACACCCAGGCGGAAGTGCGGCCCTAGCGACAGCGGAGCGACGTGCCCCTCCGCCAATCGCAAAGCGAGGCCTCGCCCCGCCGCCGCGAGGACGGACCAATCGTTTCCCTCGCCCTCTCGCCAGGGGGCGGGGTTAATGCTAATGAGGCGGAGAGCTCCGCCGTCGCGAGGGCTGCACGGCCGCGGGGGTGGGTGCTGGCCAATGGGGCGGGGAGGGGGGCGGGGATATGCAGATGAGGGTGGGTACCGTGAGCCCCCGCGGCGCTGAGGGGGGCATTCGGAGCATTTATGGGGGGAACGGGGACGTTTTCACTGCACAGACGAGCACGGAGGCGTTGTACCAAGTGTGGGCGAGTGTGTTCTGTGGGGTGGATGCACTGGTATCGTGTCTGTGGGGAGAGATCAAATCACCATAACTTAAGTAGCATAAAGCCACCTTCTGATTGATGGGCGGGGAAAACAGAAGTTTCTTTAGTCCATTAGAAACCTTTTTGTGGGTGCTCTGTCAGGGGGTGTTCTCCTCAGGGCTGTGCGTGTTCTGGTGTTAATTCACGTTTTACATCAGGGTTTGCCTATAGAATCCAAACTATCCTACAGAATTCAGATTTACCGGGTTTTATGTGATAAATTCTGTTTAGTTTTAGGGTACAGCGCATTACCCACAGGCCTCAGTGCCCAGGCCTTTCCTTCGCCCTCTGTGGCCTCAGAGCACAGTTAACGGTGCCTGGAGAGCCCAGCGAAATGCTCGGGCTCAGGACTCGGAGCTGTGTCACCAGGAGAGCAGCCAGCAGGTGCCTTCGTTTCTCTCCCCTGAACTCGCACCTGTCCGTACAAAGCCACTAACTCGAGGCAGGTTTGTAATCGCCCCCCTCGCTTCAGAGGCAGACTAAAGCAGTTGACGTTGTTTGTAAATGTTGATGCAAGTATCAAAACTCTGAGTCAGGAGCTTGAAAGTGAATTTGATTCATAACATTTCTCTTAGATAACACCTATTCTGCTCTTTTTATTTGCCTTCTCCTTTCTGAATCTGCAAGGAGCTTTGCCTTCACATGTGCTTAAATGTCTTTCATGATCAAAGAGACTCAAAACTCTCATCCTCCCAAATGTCTCCCGCCCTCCCTCTTCATACTTGAAAGCTAACAATCAAACGGATTCTCACTGGACCCAGCAACCACGACTTTAAAAGGAAAAGGAAAAAAAATATATGCATAAACTAAACAGAATGTGAAGCGTGCACAGAGCGAAGTGCTGCAGCTCAGCCAGCCATAACAAGCATCCTTCCGAGGAGTTAGGAAACCAGGCAGTCTGGATGAAGTACGTCTCCTATCACAAAGACGAAAAGACCCGCTGGTAGTGGCCCAGGGAAGCCTTGTTGTCCTCCTGAACGGGAAATCATCCTGGACATCAGGAGGAGCAGGCACAAGAGTCAAGAAAAACCAGTCAGGAATGACAAGCTGGAGACTGAACAAGGAACTGGAGGGAGCGAAGGAGGGAGATGAGTCACAGAAATACTTATCCTCTAAATGATCTTTTCCCAACAATTGATGCACTTCTGCATACAAAGCAAGTAGAGCATTTTGACTCTTTAGCACTGAGGTTTTTCATCTGAGGAAGTTACAAATGCTTTTAACAGGGAATGACTCCAAGGCCAGTGAGGAAATCACTGCCGGAGACCTCTGCCACCAGCACAACTCATTGTGTCGAGGCTGGGATTAAGGACAGGAGGGCCGGGCAGGGTTATCTGGTTATCTGCTGTAGACAGCAAGGAAGTCTTGCAAGGATGGATGGTGGTCAGAGGTAAGACTGGAGGCAGAGACCCCGATCGTGACAGTTTCTTCCTCCACCTGCACTTGTATAAAGTGAGTTTGTTTTCAGAGGTTCAACAGCAAAACCACAAACCATTCCTTTGCTACCTGGCTCCCTCCTACTATCTCCAAGCACTTTACATGGCACACTGTATGCCAGTTCTGGAGTATTACTCACTCCTAAACGAGCTGACAGCCCCTGGCCATCAGCCATATGCTGACAATACATGAGACATGAATTAACAATGACAATGCTCCTCGCTCTGGAGCAAATACAAGTTCTTAAATAAAATCTCCCTGGAGAATTTCTCACACACATTGGGATTCAGGAGTGTTCGGGGGAGCACTGCTGGCTCTGAGGATGTGTTGGTCTCTCTGGATCCAGTCTTGCTACACCCACACGTTGGTTTAGCCCTGCAGTGATGCAGGCTGTGTTGCAAGGCAGGTGTTGTTGGACTTATCTTTTGGGAATGCAAAGCTTTGGGAGGAGAGGATAATTTGTTTCATTCTAAATCCTTTTACAAGATCTTACTGATTTGCCCAGAAAGGTGTCTTCTTTTTTTTTGGTTTTTTTTTGGTTGGTTTGTTTGTTTCAGTAAGTCATTATTCAGCAATCCATCAGAATTTAAGCTCACCATGTGGTACATAAATACTTGTACTGCAGCTTTTAAGCAAAGCCATTGCCATGAGTAAGCAGCTGATCTCCACGAGTTCTCAAAAACCATCATGGAAAGGGAAATCCACTGATATATGACTAAGGAGTACTGGTTTCTTGTACCTGTTCATATTTAATTAAAGGTGTGCACATTTGAGCTAAATGCCCATGCTTAGGAAAAAAAAAAAAGTAATAAAATGAAATTTTCTTCTGTTGCTAAACATTCAGGGTTATTCCTCTCTAGCAGTATTAAATCAAGTGTACGTATGTATATGGAGCAGCAACAAGAATCTAGATCCTTATTTGTTTCCCTCTTGTGCTGGCAATGAGGGGAAAGAGCAGTTGCCTTATAAAGGAGATGGCATTGAAAATTTTGCCTTGCTGCCAAAAGTTTTGCAATGTTAAACATAATTGAAATGGGGTTTTACAGTGGAAAGTACGGAGCAGCTGCCTCATACCTAGGTGTAACTGTCAGCTCCACCTGTAATAAACCCAACTCTTCACCTACCGTGGAGCAATGCAATCCACTTCAAAACTATTCCAAGAAAACCTTGTCACTGCAGCAGGTTTACAAATGACGAATTGCAACAGAATAAGGGAGGGCGAAGTGGCAAAACAAAACGCATTGATCCTGTGCTCTAGAGGTAATCCCATTCCTGTGTGGCGTGCTACTGCACAAGTACACATAGTCCTTCACCAGGTAGCAGGTAAGCAGAGACAAATGCCTCTTCTCTCCTCCTTGAAAGGGAGCCAGCCTGCAGAGGCAGCCACTTCAGTCACGGCGTGTTTGGGCAAGTGCTCACCCCTGCCACTGGATGACTCCTAGCAAGGGCACTTCAAAACCCAAACCATTTGTTTAGCAAGCACTCCAGTGACTTCTGCCTGACACCGGCAGTCCCTCCTCCACGCTGTGCTCATCTGCAGCTGACCCGGGCTCCCCGCACGCCACTTCTCCAGACCCACTCGTGCTATGGGAAACCCAGAACGAATCTGGAGCTTCCCCTTGCATCAGAGAGTTTCAAAGACACGGTGTTGTCCTTGTGGGTATGTGCTGAGCGTGCTTGGAAGCATTCTTTCTCCTGTCTACCAACAGCTACACTTCACAGGAGCACGGGGCTTGTCCGTGCTTGAAGGCTAATTTGTTCTGAGGGAGGGTGTGAATTAAAAGCGTGGTAGCGATCCAGAAATATCTCTGAGCAGATAAACCCCAAGGTATCACAACAATGGATTAAACACACCATCGCTAAATGCAAGATCAGCGGAGAAATGCCCCAAACGGTGCACCCAGGAGAGAAGAGGGTCGTGCAGCGTGGCGGGGACATGGCTGCGGGGCCTGGGGCTTGTCTCCTACCACAGCTCCAGCCTGATGGAGCTGTGCCATCAGCCACACAGCGAGACTGGGAACTGGGTGGGATGGGTGGAAGGAACAAGCCCCAGGAGAAAACAAACAGGACTGCAGCGAGGAGCACAGACCCTGGTTGTTGCCCCTTGGGTGGTGCGTTTTGCGTGGGCAGATTCCGGCCTGGAGAACTGCAGTGTGCCTCTGACTCAGGTGGAAGTGGTGGTTTTTCCCCTCCTGTTCTCTGCAGTCCTGCAGTTTGCTTGTTAAATATTAAATCGTGATAATTCGGGTAATAAGACGGCACACCCCGTGCCACGCTGTGCTGGAGGCTGTGCAAACATGGAACGGGAAGAAACTTTCTGCCTCTGAGAGCTTGCATTGAAGGCACTCCCGCTTTCCAAACGAGAGCAGGCTGCATCCAGGTACAAGCGAGGCAGGACACAACTTTGCAAAATGTGAAACATCCAAATGTTCCACGGTCTGAATAACGAAGGTTTCCTTCTATAGCCTGTCCCATCTTGCAAGACAGACATTATAAATTCGATTGACTGGAATACTGAATTTCAAGCTGCTGGCACTAAAAAAAAAAAAAAAAAAGGAAGATATTGTGAAGCAGCTAGTGTCACATGAATGTATTCAATATAAAACAGACACTAAAAAAGCAGACATTGGTAATACTGATAAGGCTTTAGCGGAGGACACGGTAATGCTGAAACCACATGAATTTTAACCAGCATCTCGAAGAAAAGCAATTGAAGAGAAAAAGGAATCCATAAATAATGGGGAACATGGCAAAAGCTGAATAAGTAGAAATAGCCAGTCTGTTAAAAGGCTGAATAAGCATGTTCTTTGTAATGGCATGTAAAGGAGAAGGCACAACAGGCTGTGTCCTCCGCTTCAGTGATAATTCCCCTGGGAAGTGCACACATTCAGCTGAGGGCAGGGCAGAGTCTGAGCCACTTCTCTTCAATGTAAACTAAAGTCTTGAAATTCTGCATAGCCAAACTTGTGAAAGCTTAAAAGCCAAAAGCTGAACGTACGGGGACTTTCCAGGGTAAGTGAGAGCGTTTCTTAAAATACTTGCTTTCTCACGAAGTCTAGAGGTTGCCCTGCCGAATCCTGAACTCCTCTAATTCCAGATACAGCTCTTGGCACCGGACACTTCCACTCGATGAGCAGGAGGCTGTGCTCTGGATGAGAACAGTTGTGCAAAACTAGGTCAGCTCCGTATCCCGCCTCACCCTCCCTGGGAGGATGGTCCTTGCGTTCCTTCCACCTCCATAGAAGGCAACATGGGGACGGGTCAGTGTCAGCTCCCAGCTTTAATCACCCCCCCCCCCCCATTTGTACAGGGCTTGGGAAGCACCAGAAGAGCCCCTGCGGAGCCCAATCTCTGGAAACTTGCTCCTGCTGCAGGCTGGGCACCAACGTGCCTCGGCTCTTTCTGTTTCAGGAGCAAACCTGAGGATGCTCCATTTTCCCAGCGCCCATGCACCAGCACGCTGCCACCAGTTATCTGCCAGCAGTCAATGATGCTTTCTATCCTAATAGAGGTTTATTTGTCAAACTTGGCCACAAGAGTGCCTTATTTAGAACTAATTACAATGTCTGGTTTTAGCTACATGTACAGCAGCGTGGCAAGTCACCTTTGTACTCTCTGGACCAAATTTCTACCTATGGATGTCAGCATTTACATCAGAGACTAATTCAACAGCTTGTATGATGCTTTCTTTCTGGAAATTTAAGTCAGTAGAAGCTAATTGTATTTATTGATGCAAGATCAGAACTGATGTGTGAGTAAGATTTAACCTGACTGAGCGCTTCCTTGGTAACTTGTCTCCGTCTCCAGGATCTCACCATCACCAGCGGCTGACCGGGATAGGTGTGCACGAGGCAGGGCGAAGGGATGCTCCTCACAGCCCAGAGCAAAAGGGTACTTTCCTTTGGATTCTCCCCACAATAAGTCAGAAAAACAAACAGATTTCTACTGCCCAGGTAATGCAGAGGTGTTGCTTATGTCAGGTAAATTAATTTCAGTAAGTTCCTTACAGAATTAGATACTATTAATTCAGTAGCACAGTGTTTCCCCAGCTCAGCACCAGTTCCCTCTCCACATGCTTTGTGGCTGAAATGACAGCAGAGGAGAGTTTCCTGTAGCATGCACGCACCATTCCTGTATATTTTCAAGCACACCTGGTGACACGTCCACACTGTGCCCCACAGCACGGAGAGGAGCCACCTGGACTGGCAGAGGTCCCAGCATGGGGACAACTGCCCTCCAGCAGGGTGTCACCTCCTCACCATGCAGCACAGAGCTCAGGCAGGCACTACCCCTGGGAACAGGTTCTGCAATTTTATAAAAAGTCCCGGACTTTAACCTTACCACTTGTAGCTGCCAATAACACCTGAAAAAAGAAAAGGTGGGGGTGTATTGCAGATAAGCTTTTTTACTGATAAACTATAGGCTGCTCTGAGTCAGTGCAGCATGTAATTTTCTTTATCTTTGCAAAATTACCACCATCAATCCAACAAATATTTATACGCACATATTACTTGCTGGGACAGTTTTCTGTGCTGAATGTAACAAAGTCCTGTTAACTGGTCCCTAGGCAACCACTAGAACTAATTAGTAACCACTAATTCACACACATCCATCAAAATAAGATCCACATTCATTTTGTGCTTCAGTATCTTTTGTGCTTGAAAATCATCACGTAAACTTTCCAGAAATAAATGATTCTCATTTGCAGATTGGTTAAAAAAGGAAAAGTATAAAAATGGTCTCATTGTGACATTCCACAAAAGCAAATCATAAAATATAAGGAATATTTGAGCATGAACAAAAAAATCAGCTCCTGTCCCAGATGGAGTTGGAAAGTTTGGCTCGGGATCTGACGTCTGCTGTACAAGCAACCCCGACAGGCAGAGTAACTACGATGCCTCTCTCTTCAGCTTCTGTGTCAGCTACAGCTGACTGTGCTTGCTTTTAGCCCAGAGGAGGAATGGGGAGCAGAAGGAGAAGAAAACCCTTAATTGATATTCACAGTGATGTCTTACATGTTCAGCATTATTTTTGTCTAAGGGAGCTCTTCCAGAAAATGTGAGAAAAAAAATTATTAGGTTAAAGAATGGCCATCAGAACTGAAGAAAGGACTGTTGGGAAGGAAGGGACTGCATAACTCGAGGTATTAAAGTACCATGAATCATTTTGGTTATCGTGTATATATTTGGAAACTGAAAAGTAAGACAGATTCAGATTGAGCACAGTGCAAAAAAAAGAGTCCATTACCTTGTCTAAGCTAAATGCCAAGCTGGAAGTCTCTAATGACCAAGGCAGATGGGTTGAATTTGCAGCTGACAAGTAGCCATTCCCTTGTGCTGCCAGCATACGAATGCTAGAACCTCTCCACATCCCCATTTCCATGCATAAAACCCAAATTCCTGAACCCAGAGCCAAACCTGCTGCAGCACTGGGGGCTGTGACGCCAGCAGGTGGCCAAGGCCAGGGACAATGCAGTCACCAAGCTCTGTGTGGCCACCAAAAACGCAGCCCTGCCTGCCTTTTCCCCAGCCCAGAGCACGATCCCTGTGTTCCAGCCACCCAGCCCCAATGGCCAGGGCAGGCAGGAAGGAGCCTCGCCAGCTGGCTGCTAGCTGAGGGCTTCCAGCAGGGAGAAGCCCAGACAAAGAGCCTTGCTCTCCCCCAGCACTGCCCAGGGACTGCTTCACGTTTGGATTTATTCCCAGTTACCAGCTCTGCCGGGGACGGGACCTAGCAAGAGGGCAGGAGGGGAACCTGGCTCACCTCTGCTGGGTTTCCTCGGCCTGGCCATTCCCTATGCAAAGCGTGCTGCCATTTTTCAAGCCCTGCCACTTGGAAGCGGATTTTGCAGGTACTCTCTCCTCGTTGGCACGCGGGGAGGGCTTTGGCTCGAAGCGCAGCATTTACCCTGGCATGAATAACAGGCAAGAAGACAGAACTCACAGGAAACTTCTAATTGACCGAGATGTGATTCATTACCAGTCCTGCGCAGTCTGAATTAAACCAGCATTACAAAAATAAATAAATAAATAAATAAAAACCTACTGAACCCCCAGGCTGTCTGGCAAGCAATACCCCGATAACCCAGCCGTGCTGGTGGGGATGGTGAGGGCTCCTGGCAGGCAGCTGCCACAGCCCCCGGGCACCGAGCTGGGCTCTGCCCACGGCTGCCACCTCTCCGTGTGCAGCCATATGGCTTCGGGCAGGGCCTGACACGGGCCAGAACCAACTCTGCTCTGGGAGCGTGGGAGCGGAGGGAATGCAGCCAGGCCAGAGGGAGAAGAAGGAAGGAACAAGGATCAATTAGCCTCTCATTTCCTCAAATTAGTGTTTCAGTTGTCATGAACACAGACCATCCATTCCAGAAGCAGAGAGCAGAGATTAGGAAGGATTTCAGGCAGCAGCAGAAGGATGGACTTCAAAGGAAACCCCAACTCCTGCCTCCAAACTAAAGGCTGGGGCGAGGCTTGCCATCACCTACCATCACCTCCACCTTGACCAAACCCTTCACTCACCCACAACCAGCTGCGACATGCCTTCCCAGAGCACCTAAAGGACCAGAAGCATCAGAGAGCAGAGCTCTTTGCTCCCACCCTTTCCTGTCCTCCCCTGCATACATCTTCCCTGGAGAAGGAGCTGGGGCAGCTCTGTGTGTCAGCCCCATCCGTGCCACAACAGCCAAGGAAACATTTCAGCCTGGACCATGTGCACACAGGAGCAGCAACACAGCCTTCCCTGCTATGGCCAACCCTGAGCTCAGCTCCAGCCTCGTCCCACAATCACTTTGGGTTTGGGACTCCCCTGGAGCTGTAGCCAAGACTCTCACCATCTCCATCAGCTCAGCACAGACACTTTGGTGAAGAAAAGCCTCTGGGGAGAAACCTCTGCTACTTTGCTTTGGATGGCTCCATATGTGTGAAAAAGATTCCTGAAGAAGAAGAGCAAACGCTTGGCTGTGCCATACATGAGCTGATGCTCAACCCCCTGTCCAGCTGCAGGGGATCAGAGAACAGACACAGTTCTCCAGGAGATTGCGGTGTTGAGTTTTCCAGATTTGCAGGCACCGAGGTGACAAAGTGCAATAGGTGGAAATGAGACAAACAGCCACCCCTGGCAGCGCTCGGACCAGCGCTGGATGTTCTTCTAGCCCAAAGGGGGATTAGTCTGGAGCAGCTCCCTGCCAAGCGGCAGAGGAGACAGGGCTGCCCTTTCAGCTGTGGTGAACTTCATCAGGTTTTCAGGAAGAAAAACAGATTATCTGCTTGCAACAGCAGCCTTGTAGTGCCACACATGTTCTTGTTGCTTCAGGTGAATAGATGCAGAAGGGCTTTTTCCTATCTTTTGTATGTGCAGCCGCTATTTAATGTAAATGCACTTACCAGAAATTGAATAACTCCCACACGAGTAATTTTATACCCATCCGACATTTAAATTGTGAATGCAATAATCTGCAGCACCACGAGTTACAAGGCAAGGCTAGAATTCCCGAGGCAAGAAGCCTATTTTTAGACCTTTCAAGCTCACATTTTTCCTAGGTGCAGAAATTTGCTCCCTTCTGCTGCTTTGGAAGTTAATTCACACTGAAAGTTTCCGGATTCGTGTTTCTGACTTTTGGGTGCTGCCTGGTCAAAACAAAACTGCTGCTTTCTGCCACCAGGCACTGGGGAAAGCATGCAAGGAGGAACCCCCAGCTTGTGGTTCTGTAGCTGGTGCCCAGGTTGTGATTGCCTAATGTGGTTGCTCTGAAAGCACGGGGAAATGAAGAAATTGCTTGTTTCCCTTGATGACATCCTCCAGCTGGGATGTGACCTGGCTCTGGAGTTGTGTGTTCAGCTTGAACAGGGGCTGTGCAAATGCTCGCTGAGTGCTTCCAGTTTTAATCTGCGTGACTGACAGCAGTTGTACAACTCTGCTGTCTAGAGACTGCATAGAAGATGCTCCTGAATCTCATTTGCAAATGCTGTTTAAATTCATGGGTTATTTTCTTCTCCATTTTGGGAGGGCTTTTTTTCCTATCGCAGAGACTTGATGTTTTACTTGTTGCTCTTGTTCTGTGTGCGAGACCCAAGAGAGACCCAAACACGATGCAGATCTCTTGTTACCCGCTTGTGCGTAGCAGTCCCAGAAAATAAATGAAAGGGAGAAAAGGCTCAGATACACTACAAAAACAGAAGACCCTTTCTGCTGGACTCTGCAAGGGGTCAGTGACATCTAGAGCACGGAAAAACACTGCTCTGGGAAGAGCAGCTCAAGGCTGAATCACTTTTTCCTTCATGTAAAGCCCTTTATCTCAGAAGAGGCAGGAGGCAGGGCTGATAATCATCGGCTGCCAAGATGTGATGCTCTTTCCAAATCAGGACTGGCAAGCAAAGCCTTCCACGTGAGTCTTGGTCTGGAATTACAGCGAAGCGAGAAATCCCAGCTCTGGCTCTCTCTTCCCTGGACAAATCGTCTCCTCACCATTTCTTAATCAAACAGTGCCAAACCAGGGATGCTGGTACTGGCTCAGCTGCCATGCTGGCCAGCCCTGAACCCAGCTGTGCAGCAGCTCAGTGGCAAAAGCTGAGCACCGCTGTTGAGCATCTGAATGTCGTGTGGGGGGCACAGACAGAAGCAGAGGGTAGGGCCCTGCAGGAGCCCAGGCTCCCCAGTAAATCCCCAAAGGTTCTAGCAGAGTAGATGGACCTTAATTTCCTTCCCTCTGCAGCGAAATGCACTGCTGTCCCCCATGGCATCAGGCTTTTGCTGTGCTTGGAGAGAAAAAAAAAAAAAAAAAGATTGTAGTGCAATTGAGGTGCAATTCTTTTAAAATGTTCTTTTTTTTTTTTTTTTGAGAAGTAGCAGCAACAAAAATTACACGAAGATCAAAGAGAAAGGAGACTATATTCAGAGACAACTCAAAAAATAATATGGGGCAGTTGCTGAGCAACTCTCCGATGCAAAGTATTGCTATTTTCTGGTGCCTCCCCCAGCCGTACAAGAGGGACGGTGTCTAGTATTAGTCAAAGAAAAGTCTGTGTGATTGCCTGAGCACAATTAGATCTAAGGTCTTTGCAAACAGCTCCTATCAATCAACCTCCAGCCATTGATCTTACATCTAAAGCACTTATTGAAAAATAAATGATGCTTTTTTGATCTAATCAACTATTAAGGATTCTTTTCTTCCTTTCTGAGGCTAGGTAAATAAAATTCTTCCATCAGAAGTTGCTTAATAATTATTCTGGACACACAGCGGACCAAATCCTGAGTGCGAAGCAAAGCGATGACTCAAAGGCTGATTTCTTTTTCTCCGCTCCTCATTTTTTGTTTGAATATCTATTCTTCCACCAGGCATTCACACAATTTGGTGCACAATGCTAAATTCATTCCCATAATCAGGGCATTGTCTGTTATCTGACTGGAGCCGCGACGCACATGTGCCGCGGGGATCTGCCTGCCTCAAAGTGGTGCCCAAGGACTTCACCTTCCGCCTCCTGCCTCCAGCCCGTCCCCGTCCCGCTTTTGTGCCGTGTCGGTTACAGCTGCAAAAACGCTTCTGTGGAGGGACAGTGAGCTTCCACCCGTGGGGATGCTTCAGCATCAAGATTGTGCTAACGCCGAGTGCTGTCACAGCGCGCGTGGCCTCAGGGAGGGCCGGGGGGACAGGTGCCATGACAACTTGGCAGCAAGGCTGGGACAAGGAGCGCAGGCAGGGGAACGGGTCAGATGGTCACCATACATCGTGCCTGCTGGGCTCTCTAGGGAGGAGATGTTTAGATCCCTGATAGCCATGGAAATAGGAAGCTTCTCCTCGTTTTGTAGTAGAAGTGAATAAATGTGGGACTACAAAGTGAGGAATTAGCAAGGCTGCGCTGGGGCTGATGCAGGAGAGAGGGGCAGAGGTGGTGTCTGCTTTCATCCCTCTGCCACAGCGCATCTGCAGGGCAGCACAGGGCCCACCATAGCACACCTGGAGCACAGCAAAGTGGCCCCGCAGCCCCTCGAACACACGAGGGGGTCACACCCAGAGGGACACAGGACAAAGAGCCCACAGCTCCAGTGACCTCCGCCTCAGCCTGCAGAAATGGGGGTACCCCACTTTCACATCGGGACAGGATGGAGAAGAGACACGGCGTGCATGAAAGGGCCCTGCGAGCATGACCAAAGTGGTGTCAGCCACACAGACCGCACAGCGCTTCTTCCCAGGGGCCAGGACCTGAGGCAAAACAGATGCTTGACCCACGCCGGCATCACCACAGCAGGGCTTGCCCTGCTATTTTCCAGAGTTTTTTAAAAATGCCCCTTTGAAAGCAGCGCAGCCGGCTCAGCTCTGCCTCTTGGATGCTGGCACGCTGCCACCCTTTAATTAAGTCTGCTGTTATGTCTAACGCTGGTGGCAGCATTTCAGGGAGGCGGCGCGGAGGCTGTGGGAATCGGCACAGGAGATCAGGTGGCTGTGGAGCTGTGGGATGACTTGGATGTTTGAGTTAATATGCCAGAGTAATAGAGTTGATATTACCACACTTGCTGATCAGATCGATGGGGAGCACAGATCTAGCCAGGGCACGGCTCCTTTGCCTGCAGGGAAGAGGATGGCTGGGAGAAGAAAGCATTGGTTTGAAACCCAAATCCTCTTTTCATGGCACAAGGCACGGAGAGAACTACTGCCAGAGGCCTCTCTAACGTCCCCTGGCACCAACGTGCCAGCTCAGCCCCAGACACCTACGCCCCTTGCATGCTTTGGTCTGTGCCTGGCTGCAAACTGAGCTCCCAGCACAGGCAAAAGGAGTGGGGACTGAAAACGGGGCAGCTTCTGCATCTTTTTCTCTGTGCTGGAAAGCAGACCTCACATTCAAGTCTGGGTGGTTTTGCCTCCACCTCTGGTAGCTCAGTGTGCAGCAGCGCAGATTCATACTGCTTATTCACTTCTTATGGCTTCAATAAAAGTAGAGTCTGTGACCAACTGCATTTCACTATTAGAGAGACTGTTCCTTGCAAAACACAACTTTTTTGTGCTTTCTGCAGTGCCATTTCTCCTCACACCACCTCCTGGGAGAAGCAGCCTGTTCCTGCACCTCTCCCCTACACACGAGCTGCTGTGGTTGCACAACCCCTGGGCTGCGTTTGTGTGCACAGGACAGGGTGACAAGGCACACCAAAGCCTATACCCACTTCCAACACAGCTTTCCAGCAGCCACCATGCTGCACGTCTGTCCCCACGCCGGCTGCGTCCCTGCAGACAGGGTAAAGCTTCGAGTGGGCAGCCTGCAAAATCGGTCTTGCATTGCAAAGTGCTTTGAGATCGGGACTGGGATGTGAGACTCTGCCTCCACCAAGTGATTGGCAGAAAGAAGAGAAAAAATCCTGCCCGAGGTTGCACTTCTGCAACTGCAGACTGTGGGGGGCAACACCCAGCAATTTGTATTCTGCCGCTCGTTTTTGTCAGCTGTACCCTGCTGCCCCGGAGAAGCTAACCTCTGCTTCGTCCCCACAAGGCAGTTTGATTTGATCTGCTCTGCTTGTGGATAGTGCCACGTACAGAACAGTGTTGCAATTAAATATTTTCTCCACTCTATGCTAATGAGTAGCAGGAAGAGCTAACAGAATGCACAATGGCAGATAATTACAGCCAAGCAATTACTGACACAATCCTATCTCCTTGTCCTCACACTGCTTTTTCCACTGCTAAATGCTTGCCATGAGCCTGCCACAGCAGCCGGAGCTGCGAAGGTGGCAAGCAGAGCAGTGGGAAGGCTCCTGGAAGCACGTCCCGTGGATCCCCATCAGCTCTGGCCACCCGCCCCTTCCATGGCTGAGCCTCAGCAGGGCTGCATCGCCAGCGCAGGAGGGGCCAGGCTGACTGCATCTGGTCCAAGCTGCTAAAACTAGGATCATCAAGGGAAAAAAAAATCTTAATTGCCATAACTGAATGAAAGGAAAGCTAGGGAGCATTTCCCGCTTGCTTTCATGAGGGCCTGTATCTGACTAGAACTTTGTGAAGTCTAGTTGCCCTAAATGGCCCCCCGTGTGATTTCCCAATCACTTTTATTTCTTGCTCAACCCTGAGTTTCTAGGAGCTGCTGTTCAAAATACCCACGCTTTGCACAATTACTTGGGATATAAAACCCTGTCGGTGTCTGTTCAGAAAGGGCTGTGGCAGGCTGGGGAAATCACACGTTTATCATCAACAGAAGTAAACAAATGAGCACTTTTTTAGACATGCAGGCTCAGACAGAATTGCTTTAAGCCAATGCCGTAACATTCTTAAATGCCAAGCGTCACATGAAACCTTACCCAGAGCCACCTCCCTCTTGCTCAGAGCCTGCTCGCAGACAAGTGGGACCCACGAAGCCTGGCTGTGGGCACTGCAAAGAGCATCAGCTGCGTGTGGTGCATTATTAACAAGAGGAATTATGAACTCTGTTCCAAAAAACTTCTCAGAGCCAACCCCAGTGCCACTACACACGATCATTTGCAAAATTAGAGACTGTGATTTGAGTTGGACGATTCATCTTGTACCTGAACAAATGCAATTAATTCAGCACTGTGCTCTGCATCCCCTCCCTTTTTCCATTGCACCACAGCATGCTGTCAGACAATGCAGAAGGACAGCACGAAACAAAGAGAAGGGGAGAACAGCATCTGATAGTACAGGGAAGCCTTTCCTGCAAACCACCAAACTCATAGCGTAAATCAGAGCAAGACGAAGGGAATTAAATGAGAAAGATCAATGCACGAGGACAGCTTGGTGGGACAGAAAGCTGTGGATGCTCGCATCTAGGGAGATGAAAACCCCAGCTCCTCGCCTTCTGGCAGAGCTTTAGCCACCAGGGAAATACCAAAGGTGACCGGAGCCAGCCCAGTCCTGCTTCCTTCCCAGTGCCCCAACCGTGCTCCTTCACCCAGCCCAGTGCCCTTGCCCCAGCTGCGGCTCTGCACCTCATTCCAAGCTTTGTTGTTGTCCTCTGTTTTCTAAGCAAATTATCACGGAATCCTTTGCTCACCTCGCACCACTACAGCCTTCATTAGCTACTTCCACATGGAAAAATTGCACATCGCTGTCTTCTGTCTGCTTGCCACAAATCTTCAGGCTCACAGGTGTCTCATATGCCCTGGAAAGAAGAGCAAGAGAGACAGGTGGGGAATTATTTCTCGCTTCCCATCCCCTGCTAACAGGCAATGTTTCACAGCCTCAACTCAACTGAGACGTGTGGGAAGTGACAGAGCCAGCAGAATTTCTGTGGCTGTCGGTCTTAAGATAATCAGGCACGGGGCATTCAGGCAGGCTTAAAGGAGACCTGGCTCCCAGAATCCCCAGATTCTGGCTCGTGTAGTGCGCAGGAAAATTGCTGATTGACCATCATCCCTTGGAGGCGCAGGGATCAGATCTGCAACCCGTGCACTACGGGGCACGCTGAGACAGAGAACAACAAGGGGGTAATGGCACAGGTGCTCCAGGTGGAAGACCTGGCTCCCACGCAGTGAGTTTTCATACCCCTTGTGTGACTCAGTACCTTCCCTCACACAGGAGGCGTCTAACGTTGTCTCTTGTCCTTGGCTTCTCCCAGCACACCACATCCTACTTCCAGTGCAGCTGCACCCCTGCCTGGGGGGGTCAGCACTGCAGGACCTGATTTCTTACTGCAGAGGGAAGGACTTTCAGTTTTCTTCTTTTTTGTTTTTTGTTTTTTTTTTTCCCATTATTTCTTCCAGGACGTTCTGAACTTGGTGAAATCACCGTGCCTGTTGCGTTCGGCAGCAGCTATGTAACATTTGAGTCTCCTGAGACAGCTTAGCTGAGTGGTTTCACAAGAAGAGTGCCATAACTGCGGTAAGGAAAATGAGAATCTTGTTATTTACAGCAGCAGCAAATTCCCTGTCTTTACAGGGGAGCAAGGGTAGCACAACAGGCCAGAAACCTCGACAAACACCAGGCTGGCTGCTGAAGTGGCTTTTGTTGCTAAAATGCTATTCATTGCAAGCTAATCCAATAAACAGTTCTGCTCAGGGTTCCAGCTCCTCTCTGGACCCAGGGGAGCTCTGGTTTCTTTGTCCTCTCCTATTTTTCTGCACCAGTCTGACTCCAAATTACTGGCTTGTCTGGAGGCCAGAGCAGCTCAGGAACGTGTATTTGTGCTTGGAAGGGGAATGACAGCCGAGAGCAGCACAAGGCACAAACATCCTGGGTGTTGTTGCTGCTTCGCCTGCAGTGAGCTGATGCTTCCTAAATGCTTTACCTTCCTCCTGTCGCCGTATCCCTTTTAATCCCTCTTTGCCGTGCTTTTGTAGTCGGGTGCCTGACATACTCTCTATTAGTCTCTGCTGGCTTATAACAAACATCAAAAGAAAGCCTGAAAAGACGAGGAATCAGAGATCAGAACCTAGAGCAACAGCTAATAGAAGAGAATACATTAGGCACACTGAGGCTCAGTATGAACTACATTTTCCATCTACCTTTGTTAGACAGATCTAAGTGCAGGCTTGACATCGACGTGAGCAGTCAGAGATGTGGCTGAGAAAAAGGTTTTTTATTAGAAATGCCAGGAGTCAGGGAAAATCCTTGCACAGATGCAATTCTTTCTCAATTACACTGATCTGGAGACCAGTGAGGCATAGTTCAGGCTTCAGGAGGAAATGGGCAGGTGGAGGAAGCAGCATCCTTCTGCTGGCAAACTTTAACTGAGGAGCTGAGCAGGATCTGGCTTGTTCAAACAGCAAAAAGGAGGGCAGAGGAGCCAAGGGTGACCGTGACTCACAGAGGGTGGGACAGGGAATCCAGCAGAAGAGATGAGGGCTAAAAGGACAGGCAGGAAGGGTATTTTCCTTTGAAGGAAGTGCATTTTGAGAAGTGACCATAAAGCTGTTGGATTTAATTGTGCAATGCCTTTCACAGATTGCCCTTGAAAGTACTTTTAGGAGCGCAGCCACTTAAAATTCCTGCAGACCTGCTACAAGTGGCAACAGCTGCGTCTCCAGTGACGTTGGTCTGCCCCTCACCCTCAGGAGATGGATGTGGGGGCGAGCCCAGGGTGACCAGGTGAGCCCAGGGGCCCAGGGTGAGCAGTTGAGCCTTCTGATGAGGGTGCTGATCACAGCCCGTGACTGCACAGCGACGTTTCAGATGCTGGGTGCAAAGGCAGCTTCAGTCCAGCCAAGCCGATTCTGTCTGCATCTGCACTTGCACCTCCCTGGCATCTCCTTCCTGTCCTCCCAGGCAAGCAGAGCGGAGGTTTTGATACCCTGTCCTCCCCTCTCAGGGCAACCTGCACACTTCAGACAAGGTTTCCAGCCACCACGGAAGTCACTGGTGACAAGACGGCAGCCTCCTGCAATCAGACCCCTCGAAACAGCCTCCACCAAAGAAGGGACAGCCTAAATCCCAAATAGGAGACTTTTCTGGTTCTCGTGGCTGGTTCAGATGAAGAGTCCCCTACCCCAGGATGTGTAGCCCAACCCAGAACAGCAAGGACAGCTCTGGGTGCAATAGTGCCTTCACCCTCGCACGGAGAGGGGTTCTGGTGAGTGAGAGCTCTCTCCATAGGACCTTGGACAGACTCTGCTTGAACATTTCACAGAGGCTGCTGGGGAGTTGGAGAACAGCAACAAGCTTCAGTCCCTGTCGGCTAGACGCTGTCCAGCAGCCTGGAGACAACAGACTTCATTATCACGGGCCTTGCAGAAGTCAAATGATCAAAGAAAGCAGAGTTAAAGCTAGTCAGACTTCTGATTTTCCTGATCTTAGCAACAAAGGCCTTGTTTGCCTTCTGCTGTACAGAACTACCTCTACTTCTGTGCTGCATTTCTTCTACAGATGAGTATGATTGTGAAATAAATACCAGACTGCAAATCCAAACCTTGACTTGTAGAAAAGCTCTTCAGGCATTGTACCCGAAGGGCCTTTCAGTTTGCAAGACACTGAGCACCTGACGGAGGATTTGGGGACAGCTTCTGCTTTCAGTGACACCAGCGCTACTTAGTAGGAACTCCCTTGGTTCAATCAAGTCACGCAGAGGTGAGAGCAAAATTGCCTCTACATTTCTGCTTGGAAAGCATCTGGAGGAAAGAGAGCTTTGCTTTTCTCCCCATTGCCCACAGTGAATAAATATGGTTGCATCTTTGTAAGAGAGGAGAGAATTGGGCCCACATGAAGTGGCGATAATGAATTAAAATGAATTAAACTTTGGTACATATTAGAGAGATGTTAGTTACTATATAAAGTAATATAATTAATTAGCCCAGGAAATCTGTTAAATATTATATGAGGTTACCAATGGGTTTCCTGCCTCTGGGCCCCACAGACCAGCAGGAAGCGAGGGAGTTGACATTTGCAGATCTTCTCCCATAAGAACCTCGTGGCAGCTTGGAAGAAAATCGTGGGCTCCATAAGTGTTATTAAACTCTACCCCTCTAATTGCTTAATGTCATTTAGTTTTATAAAGTTTGATCAAGCGTTAAGAAGCAGACTGCTCTGCAGCTTGCACCAGCCAAAGTCCAGAGGAACCCAGCTGGTTTCTCTTCAGCTGCTCCAAGAACAACGCTGGCTGCAACAAGAAATTGTTCAAATGCTCCCAATTAGCTCCTAACCAACCCTACTTACCACCACTAAGAGCATTAGGAATGAAGCCCAGCCCTGCTTTTTTTAAAGTGTCTCCTGATGGAGTACCAAATCTAAGTGATATTTTTTCAGCAGAACTCTAATGTTTACTCCTCCACGTGGCAAAATGCTTCCAGCAGCGTTGGTTACAGCTGTATGTGGATCTCATGTCTTGTTACTCAGATCCTGCTGCCTCTCTCTGCAAACATCTATTGGCCATAACAGCTGATGCCAGCTCAGTCCAAGCTGACAGATGCAGAATGACTTTTGGTTTTATTCCCCTTGTGCTCTGAAATTTTCATTTCAAAATGCAATATCGAATTGGCCCTGACAAGAACCAGGTGTTAATTCTGATCAGACAGTTACTTCATTACTCTCCGTATTACTCATCCTGCTCTACTGCCTTTTCCTTTCCCAGAGTAGCTAAACTCAGCATCTTCCTGCTCGTAGAAGTGCAGTTGGTTTCCACAAGACTGGAAACGTGACTTTCTTTGGTGACAAGGTGATTTGTAATTTTAGGGAGTTAGTTCCCACGAAGAGACCAACAGTCACTGATGTTAGGGACAGGTCCAAGTACCAAATATCCCCCTGTGCAAAAAGATCCGGTTGTTTTTGTACACTTTGGGAGTCTGGGTTGGCAGGTTAGAGTTAGAGGTGGGGGTGGAGAGAAAGAAAAGTGGAGAAAGAGAAAAGAAGAAAGGAGAAAAAAAAAAAGAAGTATAGGGTTTGTTGAACACAGATGGACCACAGCCTGCCCAGGCTGGAGGCAAATCCTCTCCAGTGTTTGGGGTTTCTTCAGGTGCTGCTGGCGCTGTGCTGTATGGCTCTCAGTGCTGCGCTGCTTTGAAAGGAGAGATACCAGTGCTGTCCCTGCCTTTTTGAAAGCTGAGTTCACAAGTGCATCTTCTCATTTTTGAGAACTATTCTTGTCATCCTTTTCTATATCCAACATGAAACTTGCTCAATTAAGTCCCTTGCAACACAACAAGGCAAAGACCTCTTGCCACCAGCAGAAGTTGTTTTGACATCCGGCTCAGCAGCAGGATGAAGCACACCCAGGAGCTGATTTCATGACGTCCCATCCAGGTTTGGATTGCCATGCTGTTTTTCAGCCCTAATAGCTCTCCAACTTTGACAGACAAGCTGTTGTTTTTATTTTATATATCAAAGAGTAGCATCTCGCTGGAAAGGCATCTCTAGCATTGGAAATGCTCCCCTGGCATTTTCTCTACCTTATCATCTTATCCTAGCTATAAAAAATTCATCTTTGAGTTTGGCTTCCCTGTTTGTGCAGTGGCTCGGTGGTCTGGCAAAGCAGGAGCTCAAGGCCTCCTCTGGAGATTTCATCCTTAGCTGCGCCGAGTTCTTTTCTCTGCCACACTGCCCTTACCCTCACCCACGTGTGCTGGGTAACTTCTGAGAGGATCTCAAAAAGGGAATTTTCCAAACTGAGTAAACATTTCCTATGACGAAAAGCAGAACAAAAAGAAATAAAACAAAGGGATGGGTCCCATAGTGACAGATACTTGTGTGAATGCCAGAGCACTTTAAACCCTCATCAGTAAAGACATGAACACAAAGAGGTTATTAAATCATCTCTTTCTTTAAAATTTGTTTCACAGACAAGCTGGCTCCACAGGGCAAAAATAAGCAATGGAAAAAACTACAATCATGCATAGCAATAGCAGCATCTCTTCTGGAGGTTTGGGGCTTCCCTGCCTCTAGCCCTGCACTTTCTCACTGCTCTGTAGAAGAGCAAACCACTCAGTGTGAAAGTGCCAACTTGGTGAAAATGCAAAGATGGACATGCAGCAAGAGAAGGTGTCAAGAAAGCTCTTGTTTTGCCTTTAAATCTTCCTGTTGCTAATGTGTCTTCTGATTGCCATCTCTCTTGATTTCAGGACACAGCTGTCCTCACCGTGTAATGGCAATGATGCGTATCTAAGCCTGCACCAAGGTGCAAATGCCTCCGCGAAAGGGTTGGAAGAGGCTGATCAACATCCAGAGGAAGTTACATCCATCCATGTGGATTATGGATAACCCCCTCATCGTCAGCACCTTATAAACCCGTTTTATTGTGTTTGTTCCAGGAGAGAAGGGAGCTTCCATCTCTCCCCTTCACAAAGAAGCGAGCGAGAGCAGCACGCAGACTCACACACACCTTTGCTCCTGCACAGCTGAGCTCGCACAAGGGTGGGATATTTTGCCCAAACACCTGTGCCCCACAACAGAGGCACTTTTACTGATGTCAAAGCGCCTTAGGATTCCTGAGCTGCAGCCAAGAGCATTAGTGCAAGCACTGAATTATAGATGTGCCTGGAACAGAGGGGCAGGAAAATTTTGAACCTTTTCAGCCAGCTGCTGCCTGGTAGAGGCGGGGGCTGTTTGTTCATAGAGCTTGGCTGCAGCCATCGCTATTGGTTTTGACTGGGATGCGTGTGACAGCGATTCCAGGTCATGTATTCTCCGAGACAAACCACAGGGAGACTGTGTTTTTGTCTTAATGATTCAGGCATGATTATCACTTTGTCATTTGTAAAAGATCACAGTCTCTGAAGGTGGGAGATGTTGTCAATTATGTAGCCATATGTAATCAGCCGGCTATGGAGGAATATCCTCCCAGCTCCAGGTTTATTACATTGAAAAGCTTTCTGTGGGCCAAGAAGGTGCTGGTTTGAAGAAATTCTTTAATGGACTCTTCTAAAAAGACATTTCATGGAATAAAACTTAAGTGGATTAGATAAAAATACCAAAGCAAGCCAACGAAGTTATCTCAGCACAGACATACTGACATGCCTCCCAGAGAGGGGAGAAATCCAATTCCTTGCATCTGGATTTCCTGGTTCATTAGAAAGATACAGAGCATCCAAGACAATCTAAGAACTGAATAAACATCTAACAGAGCATCAGCATCTCTACAACTCTTCTAAGAAGCTGAAAACAAATTTTGTAGTGTGGTGCTCCAAGTCCAATGTTTTGGCATATGTTGTCTTGAGATTTTCATGAATTGCAAATAAATGTATGAGGCAACCAGAAGAGAAAGTGACAGTGCCCCAAGACAAAACAGATGCATGTGTAATAGCTCAGATTTGGCATGGACTATAGCATATGCCTTGTAGACCAAGGAACACCTCAAGTGTTACAGGGAAAACATCATGGTTTAATAAAACCATGGGTTTTATTACACAAATTATGGGGATTTAATAAAACTACGTGATGCTAAATTTGAGAAACAAGAATAATTAAACCTGGCCTGTAGAAGAAGGTGCTCCGCTGAGATGAGCAAATCCCAGCACTGTCTTCGGTGGTCAGAATAAGCAGCCCACATGGAAACTTCATTTATTTGCACAAGAGTTCTTGGGAAGCAGAACTTCTCCATTCCTCCTCTGTCCAGCTTGTAAATCTATGTGCAACTCTGCAAGTCACAGGAGAAAACAAATATGAGATGCTGTACAGAGGAAATGCATCTGTGCAAAGGAAACTCCAAATTGGTCCCTCTAGGACCTCCAAACTAAAATAAACAAGAGGAACAGAAGCCAGTGGCACTAAGCCATACGCATACAAAGCGTGTACAAACCACTTGGTGAGACTGAGCGATTGCCTGCGACCAGCACCAGCAGAGGCGCTGGGCACCGGCAGCAGTCGGTGGTCCTGCGGCAAAGCTGTGATGCAGCAATGCACAAATCCTGCAGTGCCCAGAATCCAGGACAGGGCCAACTCCAGAATTACATCCAAAGCTCCTTAAACATCAGGAGGCTGCAGAAGCTATTTGTCTCTCAGCCTGGAGGCTTCACAGAGACACTCCCAAGAACAACCATTTTCCAGGAGGGTTATTCACCCCTTCTTCACTCGCCGCTTGAATCTGAACTTGCAAGGGCAGACTTCTGCTTCTTTATAAAGCAGCTTTAAAAAAGTCACGTATAACCTCTGTCCTTTTTTAAAGGCATAGAACATCTGCAGAATTCACATTCAAGCTAAATGCTTCTCAAACATCAAGTAGGGAAGGAAGCAGAGAGGGGAGGAGAGCTCCCAGTCCCCTTGATCAGGAGTCTCATCACACTAAGATGAGACTCCATGGACACCTTTAGGAGCTGGGTTCGGGGGGGAGCTCTGGGCTAGGAGCTCTACATCGGGCGCCTGCTCCTGTATCCACCTGGGGACTAAGCAGTCTACAAGCTGTGAGGCTCAGGGGGCTCCCAGCCCTGAAGAGGACCCCGAGGGGTGACTACAGGGTGATCAATACACCCCATGTGGACATACCTAAGCACTTGTGAACATTTCTGGGATCTCCACGTGACGTATGTAATGCCTAGGCCAGGTCAGCACGTTAGCCATCGTACTGCCTGCTTGCATGGCCTTACGTGATCTGCTCTAACTGGCGCTCCTCGGCTGGCCAACGCCTTTGCTTCATCACCAGAACAGCACGTCTCCTGAGGGCAGTAGACAGATAGTTGTCCTGCTGCTGAAGCAAGAGAGAAATATCTAGAGCAGCAAAACTATAGTCTGCTTGGCTATCTCATCCCTTATTTATCTGACCTGCCAGGCAAATTAGTCTGGATAAACAGTAATTGAGAATCGTCCACATTGCATTTTACAAATCACTTTGTGAATTACCTTAGGTACAAAGCACGATTCCTGCTTTCTGTTCGGATGGCGAAAACTCTAAATAATGAGTGACAGCTAACAAACGGCAAACAGCTCCTAGTGATCGTGCTGCAGCATGCACACAATCATTCGGCATTTGTAAACATTTTAATGAACACTAATGATTGTCTGAAGAGCTGGAGATTACAAATAACACGAGATCCTGAACAGCCGCAGAATAAAAGCAGTGTGGTGCCTCATTACAACATCCGCCCTCCCTCAAAAAAAAGAAAATTTAACTAAACGCGATTCTCTGTCCCATCTGAGGCAACACACACACAGCTTGGAGCCTCCACACACTGTTGGGTGCTGCCAGCTGGGTGCTGAGCTGGAAAAGGGGAAGGAAAAGGGAAAGGGAAAGGGAAGGGGAAGGTGCAGGACGCGGCTGGGGTCCCTCGGGGGCGCCCTGCTGCGAGGTGCCCTCGCCCCCAGCCCCGCGGGGCTGACAAGAGCCCCTCGGCCGCCCCCCAGCAGGGCCGGGTGGGCTGAAGGGGAGCTCTGCGACAGCTCCTGATGGGAAAACGGCTCTGGGAGGAACCTGGAGGCGACAAACCTCCCCGCGAGGCAGCCTCGTGCGCGGTTCTGGGTTCCCAGAATTTTGCTGCTTCGCTTTAATGTTTGATCTCTGTTCTTCAGAGACGTTCCCAACTTCTCCGACTTCCCCAGAAAAGAAGGAGCTTGGTCGGGGCCCCGGCCCTGCCCCACGCCGCCCCGTGCCCCGGGTGCCGGCGGCAGGAGCCGCATCCCGCGGCACCAGAGCCGAGTTACTCCCAAAAACCCAACACGTGCGGTCTGGAGGGGGGGGCAAGAGCATCGCCCCCTGCCCCGGTGTTCGAGGGCCCCTGGCTGGGTGCTAATTAAAGGACAAATGAAGCCTTTAACGCCGCTCCCCGCAGCCCCGGGGACCTGAGGCAGGCACCGGGAGCGCTCCCCACGGCCGCTGCTGCCTCCGGGGGCGCTTCGGGGAGGCGCTGACACGGCCCGGGGGGGCTCGGGGGAGCGCAGGGATGCTCGGGGAGGGGGGGGGGGGCGCAGGATGCGGCCGGTTTTGGGGGAGAAGGGGAGGTCCGGGCTCCCCCCGGGGGTGGCCGGGGGGTCGGTACCGGGGGGGCGGGGAGGCGGGGCCGGGCCGGGCCGGGCCGGGGAGGGGCGGCGGCGGCGGCAGCCCCGCGGCTGCGGCTGGGTGCGAAGCGGCGGGGCCATGGAGAGCGGCGGGGCCCTGGGGGGCGGCGGGGCAATGAACGGCTCCGCCGCCGCCGCCGCCTCCGGGCGCTTCGCCCCCGGCGGTACGGCGGCGCTGGGAGCGCTCATGGCGCTGCTGATCGCTGTCACCGTGGCCGGTAACGCGCTGGTGATGCTGGCCTTCGTGGCGGACTCCAGCCTGCGAACCCAGAATAACTTCTTCCTGCTCAACCTGGCCATCTCGGATTTCCTAGTGGGTAAAGTGCCGCCCCGCCGCGCCGCGCCCGGCTGCAACTTGGGGACGGGACGGGACGGGACGGGACGGGACGGGACGGGACGGGACGGGCAGGCACCCGGGCTCCATCCCAGCCAGCACCCCAGGGGCTCCCCACTTCTCCCCCCGGCACCCCGGGCTCCCCCCTCGCAGCCCCGGGCGAGCAGAGCCGGCAGCGGCCACGCTCCGGCCCCGGGGCTCTTGCGAGGTCGCTCCCGGCCCCCGTGGCCTCCCCCGCGCACAGTCCCCAGTTGCGGTGTAAATGGCCCCCTCCGGTTGCAGGTGCCTTCTGCATTCCCCTGTACGTGCCCTATGTGCTGACGGGGAGATGGATCTTCGGGAGAAGCCTCTGCAAACTCTGGCTGGTGGTTGATTACCTGCTCTGCACCTCCTCGGTCTTCAACATCGTGCTGATCAGCTATGACAGATTCCTCTCGGTGACAAGAGCGGTGAGTCCTGGCATGGCAGCTGAGAGGGGAGTAACTCTGCCCCTGCTTTATCCTCCCAGATTCGCTGCAATAATTAAAAGCTTTTTTAATCCTTCAGGAACCATGCATCTTTTAGCCTGGTGATGGAAAGCAATAATTATCCACAAATACATAATTCAGTTGTGGCCTCAGATTATTGTTTCTGGCATAATTAAATCGTTTAAGGTTCAGACCGCATTGTGCAGGTGTTCCCTTCTCAGATAACAGGACAGTGTACAAAGTGAGTCAGCGAGGTAAGCAGACCTATTGCTAACTTCCAGGGGCTTGTTATCTCCAGGACAAAGAAGCAGATTGTGGTTGGACTCAGCTTCTCCCTGGCCACCAAAGCCGAGATTTCAGTACCAACTTCAGCAGGGCACTTCTTGGAGGTCATTGGGCATGGGGAGATGAAAATGCTCAGCCTTTTGCAGGAAGAAGCAAGCAGCTCATGAGCTGTTTGTTTTTTTCCATGACTCCAAGTACGAAGCAGATTAGCTACGAGGAGCCTGGGTTCAGAGAGATCCAGAGCTAAACGCCTGCCTAGCCCAGAGTTTGAGGCATGCCTCTCCCCGGGAGTTGCAGGGTGTAGCTAGGGACAACTCATGCAAGTGGCTGGGAGCAGCAGCCTGCCGGGCTCAAACCAAGTCAGTACATTTCCACTGAGCAGAAGCCACGTCTGTTTTTGGAGCTGCAAGACGAGGGTTCTAAGTCTTCCCTGCAGGAGTGTGATTTATCTAGCAATTGCTCCCGTTGCCTATGGCATATGAATTTGTTACACTGCTGGGAGATTGCCTAGCAACTTTACCAGAAACGCTAACAGTTCATTTGTGAAGAGCCTCAACCAGTTGGTGTCTGTGGCCATCTTTAAGGAAAGGTTTCCCCACTGCAGGTCGCCTACAGAGCCCAGCAAGGCAACACCAAGCGAGCGGTGCTGAAGATGGTGATGGTGTGGGTGTTAGCCTTCCTGCTTTACGGACCTGCCATCATCAGCTGGGAGTATATCTCGGGCCAGAGCATCATACCCACCGGGGAATGCTACGCTGAATTTTTCTACAACTGGTATTTTCTCATGACAGCCTCCACGCTGGAGTTTTTCACCCCTTTCATCAGCGTAATGTTTTTCAACCTGAGCATTTACCTGAACATACAGAAGCGCACCAAACTACGCCTGGATGTTTTCCATGAAGTGCACAACCAATCCTTCACTGAAGAGATGGAAATGAGCCCAGAAGCCAAGCTTTCTTTGAAATGCTGTAAGTGGGAGCAGCAGAAGGAGCCCGCTGAAACCCTCGACCTCTCTAAGAGCAAAGCACAAGCAGTAGCCTCCACTGCCAGCCTTGGTGCAAAAGATCTGCAGACGCCCAGCTCAGGGAGCTCTGAGAAACCCAAGTGTTGCCACAAAAAGAGCTGTAAAAATTCAGCGTGCACTCTGTCCTTAGAGAAGCGGATGAAGATAGTTTCCCAGAGCATGACTCAACGCTTCAGGCTCTCTAGAGACAAGAGAGTGGCCAAATCACTGGCAATCATTGTAGGCATTTTTGGAATTTGCTGGGCACCATACACCCTCCTCATGATTATCCGTGCCGGCTGCCATGGCCACTGCATCTCTGATTACTGGTATGAGACTTCCTTCTGGCTGCTGTGGATCAACTCAGCTGTCAACCCTGTCCTATACCCTCTCTGTCACTACAGCTTCAGAAGAGCTTTTATTAAACTCCTCTGCCCGAAGAAGCTAAAGATCCAACCTCACGATCCTCTCCAGAACTGCTGGAAGTAAAGCTAGCTCTGTGTGTGGATGAGAAAAGCCTTCTGTAACACAGGTTTTTATAAAAGAACAGTACTGTAGCTTGCTTCCTTGGAAGAAGCTGGGGCCACTGGTCTGGCACATGTGAGGAAGGCAGCAGTGAGATCACTGTTAAATAACTCTAGTTCATCACCAACAGAAACAAACAGAATAGAAGGGTAAGGCGGTTGGTTTTTTTATTTTTTTTTTTTTTACATTAATCACGGACAGTGAAATAAATCTGTGTCCTGCACCTGCACAAAAGAGCACAGAAGAGCTCTGCTGCCACCTAGTCAGCCTGCGTGGCAACAACGTTTTGTTAAAATAAGTAACCTGAAACCACTGGACTAAACTTCAGTTTACACTTAGGATATTACATGATTATACGGAAAGAATGGACCTCAGAAAGAAAACCACCTCATTAATCATTGCTACTACAGCAGCTTCAGCCATAAGCTGGGTCCCCACTGCACGTGGTGCTGCAATAGATGTCCCTTCCACTCCCCAAGAAGGGACAAATCTCTGCCACGAAGAGCTTATGGATGGACTTAGGGGCACCAGGTATCCTGAAACATCCTGTTGGCATTCCCTGCTTCAAAACGGATCTGATTCCCTTTGCGTCCAGCCGCACACCAGCCCTTACTCCCATGATACGTGGGTGCGCTTCTCTCCTGCCCTTTGCCAAAGCTTCCTCTCCTCTCTCAGAAGCTGTCCTTTCTCAGGCACTGCCCTGTGTCCTGCAGCAGCTGTCTGCCTTTCCCCCTTTTGACTTTTGTCAGCTGCTGGACCGGCTGTGCCGTGCACCAGGTGGATCAGCAGCACAGCACCACAAGGTGAGCGGCATCCAGTCCAAGGGCGTGCAGCAGGAGCAACAAGCACAGTCACTGGCCCTGCAGGATGGTGGGAACCCTGACAGCCTCGAAGAACAGGGCTGCTGTGCCTACAGGAAAGGCGTCAGCAGGGTTTCAGCTTCTCCACGGGCTCTCCCTCAGACTCCTAAGTCTCATCTGCAGAACCTCCTATTTACTCTTCCAGCGATGCGTTACCAATGACAAGTACTGGGAGAAGTGAAGTTTGCATTCCATTTTTTAAGGTAGTTTCAGACCTCCTAACTTCAGCAAGCTCTCCAGAACTCTCACATGCTGTCTTTTAAAGCACATTATTTTGAACAGAGACCCTGGTCAAGCTGTTCCAAGCAACATAAATATCTTTTTACTATTATTTATTTTTAAAGCAGTCAACTAATTCCACAGATAAAGCACCAGATTCAAGAGACCAGGGATCTATTCTCAGTCTTAACAGGAGATCTGGGGCATTTTATCTCTGCTTCCCATCTCACACTTTATCATGCTTGCCCATGCAGTCTATAACCTCTTTGGGAACAGAGCCAGAATGACCATAAAGTGAAAGACTAACTCCCGATCTCTGCTGGCATTGTTCAGTGCTATAGTAATACAAATACATAATTAGTTGCCATGGCAAACACTCATATTTAACAGTATTGTACAAGGAAGCTCAAAATTGTAAGTCTGAAAACTACATTTATAAATGGAAACCCAAATGCCGTAAAGTAGAACCCAAAAGCTTCTGATGTTGTGATTGCCCATTACACTTGGCTACTGTGAGCAAACTGTTTCTTGGCTGTTGCTAGGAATAAAGTAAATCACTACTCAACTTTTTTCCAGTGACATTTGCTGAGTAGATCAATATTGTTGTCTGAAGTCAGGTTTTAAATGAAGTCTTGTTTTGTATTTATAGTTCAGTCTTGTGACATGTTCAGTCAGACCGTTATGTATGAATTCAAATATATGCTTTGAAGTGAGTGTGCTAAGAACTGCCAGTACGCACTGTTGAGCCTGCTTGTACCTTTCCTTGTGTCTGCTACCTTCTGAGAACCCCAATAAAGTATTTTTCTACAAAACTTGCCAAATATTTTATGGTAACCAGTGTTGCTGGAAACAACGAAAAACAACTGAAAGTAAAACCTCTATGGGTTTGTCTGAGGAGACAATTAAAGCCTATACAATTTACTTTAATAATAATAGTAAAAAAAGCTCCTGAAACAGCTGCATTTCGCTTACCGATGATTAGTAGGTTCTTGATGGCACACACAGTTGGTGGTGAGCGCATAACACTTAATTCTTTCCAATTCTAGTTCTTTTCCAGAGCACATTACATGAAACTTAGATCTGAAAACATTAACCTTCTCTCTTCCTGTGACTCATGAAATCCACTAGTCTGCCTAAAAACAGACAAAGTCAGAACGTGAACAAGAGACTAGTTTCCAGCTGTGTTTGTCTTCATTTGTTCACAAAGAGAGGACTACTATATTGTTCAGTCTGATAAAAGAAAAGTTACGTTACTTTAAATTACACCTAAAGAAAAGGAAGGAGGAATCGTTCCTGTCTGTTTTACCTAGTATTCAAAACAGCAGGTAATAATCAAAGCCCTTCTCTATCTGTCTGTATCCTATGGTTCTAAAAGATGACTTCTGATACTTACCTAAACTTAGCTGTAAGTGATTTTATTCACTGGCAAATTTTGCAGGGAAGATACTTCCATTCCTTCCTCCTGCCTTGCCAAATACAAAAGCGAAATAACTACTTATGCCTGTATGTGAGGTCACACCTGAGCCTGGTTTTCATACTCAGAATGTTATCAGCTAGTTTGAAGTTTCAGGGTAGCTGATGACTAATTCAAATAAGGTAAAAGGAGTATTGGAATTCTGCTGGTTTTTAGTGTTCGGAATATAAATGTCTATATGCACTTGGAAGAGGCAGGGACTAGGGAGCATCTCGGCATAATCAAATATGAACTGTGAAAAAGCGTTACCATTAGGCAATGCAGGGCTCCTCATCAACTAACCTACCAAAACACACACGTATTCTCTGCTACCGTACCTCTTAAAAAAGTTGCCCAATTTCTATCGTCTAGACACAAAAAAGCAGACAGGACCTGTTTTTAAAAAAAAAATAAATAAAAAAACATAAAAGATGATTTGCTGTAATTTTGAATATGCACCAAGTAGTTGTGGAAGCACAGACACAGAGGAAAAAAAAAAAAAAAAAACAACAAACAACTATTTCCAGAGAGAAGGATCCAATTTATGCATGGAGTGTTAGTAAACAGTATTCATGCAGTTATAAATTGTACTCAGGAGCTTTTTAAAGAAACAGGCTAAATGACTTACTGTAAGACCCGCTTGGAGGCAATGTCAGCTCCCTTAATACAAATCTACACTCCATTAACTAGAGGATGGAAAGGGCACAATAACGAGGTCTGTGGTCCTTTCATAGAGCAGTGTCTGCATATCAATAAACTATCAAAGAACATTTTTCATCACAGCTACTTTCTTTTTGGCTCTGTGATGCTTCCTCCCTAATCACCAATAATGAAATATCTCTTTCCACAGATAGAAGATCCTTGCTCACACAGCCTCTCTTCAGTGCCCTTCCTCAATTATGATTCCTTATTTGTTCTCGCCAACCTGTAGTTATATAAATTGCTGCATTGTGTTCCAGAGACATCACTGAAGCTTCATTAGCTCATGTAGGAGGCTACACAGGAAGAGACAATGCAAGAAGAGCTTTTGTTGAAAAACACCTGTCTGGGATAATCAATGAGACTTGCCAAGAGGGATAGGCTTTGAAATCAGGAAGATGTGATTTTATTTTGATTTGAAAGAGTGCTAACGTTTTCCTTCCTTGTTTGGAAGGAAACATTCAATCTCAGAACTAGGACGGAAAAACACTAAGTTAGTTTCATTCATACAGAGAAGTTTAACAATGTGGTTTCTAAGAGGGAGGAGCAATTTTTCATAACCCCAGCCCCTATGCAGTGATACCAGAACAACTTTGAAATTTGGAACTGGCCTTGAAAGAGACCTTTCTCCTTCACCCTACTGAAATTATTCTGCGAATAGATGGAACAGAGCAAGGAGTATTTTTATATTATTATTTTTACTTCTGACCTAGGAAACACAGGCAAGAACAAAAACACTTCACTAGCCACCCTGGATGAGAGCCAAAAGAGAGAAAAACTCACTTGGTTTCTGACACCACAAAACTAGCATTTCTCATGAAGGATTTCACAGAAGTACTTGTGGATAGCAGGAAGCTCATAATGCTGCTGTGTTCCCTCATCCTTGAAGGAAACCTCCCTTTCCTCCATACCTTTGCACAACGTATTTTTCTGCCAGTACAGCTGTATTTGCAGCATTAAGGCAATGTTATATTATGAAAAGCAATCAGGAATTGTGCAGGGTGAAAGGTATCATCTGTAACCTGTTACCACAATTTTATCAAGATATTCAGCTACCATGATCAAATCCCACCGCTGCCTGGGGAAAGGAAGACTTGGACACACCACGAAGGCAAGACAACCAGGTCTGTCAGCAACCTGCTCCAGTGAGCTCAGGAATGCTTATGACTCATTAAATCAGCACCATTTTTGACGCTGTAGTCCAGGATGTATGAATACTACTTATTACTAGGTATTTACAAACCACACACTTTTACTCCATAATTTACAACCTGTTTGCACAGCCTGAGTATAAAAGGGAACTGATATTTAATCCAATTACCAAGCATTATCGGTAGTGCTATGCATACACATTTGTGGGGGAAGAACGGGACTATTATTTTTCCATTTGTAAAATTCTACAACTTGATACCGTTTAACAGTGACTCAGATGCACCAGGCAGGACTTTTTGTTGTAATGTAAAGGCTTTTCTTACACATCAGAAACCTGTCAGTAATTCCTAGCCCCCCCCCGCCGTAACGGACAATGATCATACATTAGAGATGGCGAGGCAGTGCCGTGGAAGTAGGCAGTTGTGGTGCATATGTGTACAAACACCACAAGCATCCATCCTGTGCACGAAAATGTAAAGTTCATGGCAAAAATAGTTTTTATAGGCAGGCTGTGCCCACAAGCTGACACCTGTCCTTTAAAGCACAAAAATGCATCCATGATGTGGCATTGACTTCTGAATTCTTTTTTAACACAGTATCCCAGGATTCAGCAGCACAATTAACACTGAAGGAAAACTGATTGCCATGTAGTTAATAATCTCAATTCAAGATATCTCTCTGAGCATTCACAAACAACATGCTCTCTGCTAGAAGGGCAGTGACAGTTCTGGCAAATACTTTAGCCTTTAAGTAACAGCTCACACACAGCTTTAGTCATTTGAAGCTGTTTATTGAACAACAAACAATGACAGGAGTTGCATATATAATTCCTTGAACATGAGGTTGCACAGACACCCTGCAGCGTTCATGAATTGATGATGGATTGACAAAGCAGAGCTATTACCCTCCATTATGAAAATAATTTACTCTCTAAAAAGCACAAATTCAATAGGCCATTACAGCTAAAGCACTGTTTAATATCTGTGATACAGCTTGTATTCAAAATATACAAGGATAAAATAATATGTATAAAACTTGCATGAAGCCTGTGTTAAACAGTCTCATAATTAGGAATTAAGCTGTTATTCAAGAGCTTTCATGAAAGTAACAAGCAGGAAGATCCTTTGTTGTTGCTTTTGGTACTTGAATCTATATGACAGTGGCAAAGTGCTTCACAGAACCACATGGACAGAATCACAGAATCTCTAGGTTGGAAGAGACCTCAAGATCATCGAGTCCAACCTCTGACCTAACACTAACAGTCCCCACTAAACCATATCCCTAAGTTCTACATCTAAACGTCTTTTGAAGACTTCCAGGGATGGTGACTCAACCACCTCCCTGGGCAGCCTGTTCCAATGTCTAACAACCCTTTCAGTAAAGAAATTCTTCCTAACATCTAACCTAAAACTCCCCTGGCGCAACTTTAGCCCATTCCCCCTCGTCCTGTCACCAGGCACATGGGAGAACAGGCCAACCCCCATCTCGCTAGAGCCTCCTTTAATGTACTTATACAGAGTGATAAGGTCACCCCTGAGCCTCCTTTTCTCTAGGCTGAACAAGCCCAGCTCCTTCAGCCGCTCCTCATAGGACTTGCTCTCCAGGCCCCTCACCAGCTTCGTCGCCCTTCTCTGGACCCGCTCAAGCACCTCGATGTCCTTCTTGTAGCGAGGGGCCCAGAACTGAACACAGTACTCGAGGTGCGGCCTCACCAGAGCCGAGTACAGGGGGACGATCACCTCCCTAGCCCTGCTGGTCACAGTGTTTCTGATACAAGAAGAATGCTGACATGTAGCTCCTTCTAGAGTAAGGTAAAGGCTGAAGTCAAACATGCACAGATGACGGGCACTGCCTGCACAGAGCAACACAGCAAATCAAAACCTCGACAGAGGGACAAAATGCCCAACATATCCCTTCTGAAAGTCTCAGCGGGAAGAACTCATGCAGACAAAAGCATGCAGAACAGTTCATAAGGAGCTTAAATCCACTAGAAACTCCCCTTCAGAAATCCCACACAGCTTCTGAGCAGTTTCAAATTGGCCATCTCAAAAATGCTTTCCGAAAACACAGGTTTGAGTAATTTCCTTGGAATAAACTAGAAGCACAACCTTTTTAACTCATCTCTTGAGAGCTAGCCCCAGCTGAAGTGTTGAACAAAAGACTACGAAAGTGGAAATCAGCTATTTAAGGTCATCACGACCAACTCATCCAAGTAACTGTGTTTTCATCTCAGCAATTAATTCACCAGGTACTCACTTTTATAGAGTGCCATTCAATCACAATTCATAAATAAGGACATTTTCTAATCAGTGTTAACCACTCACAAATCTGGCATGATGGGGTATGAAATCAGCAAATAATACAACAGAAGAATTGCCTCCTCCACACCAAACCAACCCAGAACATGAACATTAGCTAGCCTAAATGCAAGCTAGACAACAGTGTCTAAAGAGGTATTTGTTTTGCTAGGTTCCACCAAATCATGTTAGAAAAATTGATATATTAAAAAGAAGAGCAAGCATAAATTATTTGCTAAATCTGAAAAAGTTTATTCTTTATTCCATGATATTTGTGACCCCCTGTAATTATTTCCTTTCTTAACATGGAGGCACCAAGGCTTTAGTAGCATTCCCACTTTCACACCAATATTTTTTAGTCTGAATATTCACTAAAAGCAAATTTCAAATTGGATACTCATTAATCGAGTGATGAATTAAGTGACCCAGTTAGTTAAATGTATTATTGGTTTTGTTCCAGACTTAGTACATTAGGAAATTGACTTATGTAGCACTAACTTCATTTAGTTTTAGTATATTCTAGAACTGTTCTACATCGATCACTTTCATAAACCACTTGAATACATTTAGCAAGCATTTAAAAAGCAATCATTATCTTTAGAACTTACATGAATTAGTAGCACCAGTTAATAAGCTGTACAGGTTGATGTGGCAATATTGTTGCCCTTCTACAAATCAAGGTTTATTTACCATGGAAAACAACCTGAATGCCTTCAGAAAAAATAGGAGATAACTGAAGTCAGCTCACAGAAAGATCCTAAATGCTAAAAAACGGACTGCAATACCATGAATACGGACACTGAATATGGCAAAATGGGTACTGAAGAAGTGTAATACCTCGCAAGAGTATTGCCTGTTCTGGGGAAGGCAGATGTGTAGCAGCACACACAACTGGCCGCCTCTTCAGTAAGTCAGGTATTTCTGTGCTTCTCTGTAAACACCTAGGTGAAGTGCTTTGAGGCTACAAATACAAACGTGACATATCTGGTCAGCTGTAAGTTATGCTCATACAAGGCTCCTACAAATAAAAGATAGTGTTATTGCAGGGCTAGCACCACGCTCAAGTTTTTCCAAATTCCAGGCCCTCTGTCTCATCACACATTTCCTGTGTGACTTTGCACATCACTAGGGTACAGATCCACAGGTCCACAGGGATATTTAAATACCAATTTCTTAAAATTTAGTGGGACATAGGCTTACAGCTAGACTTGCACCTCAGTCTTCTGTGATTCAGTTTCCACCAGGAAAAGGTGGTTAGGACATCTAACATAAGGTACTGTATTTAAAAAAAAAAAAAAAAAAAAAAAAGAACATGAAAAGACAGGATGTAAAATATCAATTTTTCATCCCTCAAAGCCATTTTCCTGATGGCAATAAATTATTGAAGCTGCAAAATTTCTGTTGATATAGAGACATCTTCACTTATAGAAATGAAACAAGTGTATGTATAGTTAGAAGGGTTGTATGGACCTTTCAAAGCTAGCATAGACGTAACCCATCGCGTGGATGTGCAGGCTTCAAAACCACAACTGCTGGCACCGAAGTTACATTTAGCAACTCTTATCAGTTTTTGTTTTTCTAGACAGAGCTCACTGTCCCAATAATAGTTTGTTTGAACTGATGTTTTAAATTTCCATTACATGTCTGGTGTGGGGGCGGGTAAATGAAGAAAATAAACATTTTCTAAAATAATCCAGTAAAAACATTGATTTCACGCAGTGACCTTTTACCAGGTTATTTTTTAAATGTGATAAATGTGTGTCCTGTCTGGACAAAGCAAACTAGCTGCCCAAACTCATCTTCCTGATTTGTAACAGAGGAAAACAGCAGGAAATGAATAGCCACAAAACAATATGATTTCATGAATAAGATAATCAAAATATGGATACTTCATCTGTAATATCACAGATGTCTTCTTGACAACCAGTGTTTTAGCAATTACATTGCCTCATGCAAATATTTTTCTTCATAAGCATTTTCCACTTTTAGTGGAAGATTAATTTATCTAGATTTAGACAATGAATAGCTAACTTCTATCAATGGTTGATTAACGTGTGTACAAAGGATGTAGTGGGTGGGGATTCACATGTCTTTGGAAAACAGTGATGTTCCAATTTCAATGGGAATTAAGCGCTGAGGAACCAAATGTCAAGATTCAAATGAAAAATCTTTAAAATTATGACCAAGCTTTTCCACAGTAAAACCAATCCAAGCCCTTTATGTTTTCTAAAATGCTGACTCTTCCCTATGCATTTATTGGCTGTGCATTTCTCTGGTTACCAAAATAAAAAGGCATCCACTAAGGATTTGAATAACAGGAGATAATTTGTTCTGCTGGTAGTTTTTCAGCCGTGCTTTTCAATCAGTGTTAATATGTCTGGATCTAAGTGCATTTCTGAAAGGTGATTTAATCTGCATAAAACATTTTCAGCCTATGTGAATAAGCACAAGACTCTTCATGTTTTGTGTGTCTTATTCTACCCAATAACCATGACAAAATGACGGCATTTGAGCACACTGCAGTGCTGCATTTTGAAGGAAAAACACAAACAAAAAAACACAAAAGCAAGCAACAACCTGGACCTGGGTCACCAATGCATTATGCCAGAGTGACTCCAATTAAAATTAATGGAATGTTACCAGAATAAAATGAATTGTAACAAAGTAACCAGTCATACCATTACCTCTTACTGAAATTGAGCACGCAGAGATGAGCTAGTTATTAAACCGTAATTATATGGTTTAGTAGCATGGCCAGCCTTTTGTCTTTGCTCCAGGGAAATCCAAATGTAACACAGGAATAATTCCATCTTGGTGACAGGAAGAATATCGCCTCACAAGGAATGCACACTTCAAGGAGTCCAAGTGTTACTTTGGATAAAAAAGGGCAGAGGGAAAAAACAAACAAAAAAATGGAATAAACCCAGCAAACCTGGTGGATAAGGCATCAGATGCTGTTAAGGTCTCCTTGGACAATTCTATTTCAATAAGGAAAGAGGAGATGAAAAATTACTCTCTGTGGGAAAATGAAGGACAAACACAATTTCAATATTAAAACGAGCTCGATAAAAATCTCCCTGCCTTTGTCCTACCAGCTATGCTTTATACCTCAGAAAAATGGGCACATACCACATAATAAATCTCAGAACTGCACAGAGAAAAATCAGGAGTGCAGCCCGAAGGTAGCTTTGTTCTGTTATCAAGAGTTACCAAATCATCCCTTATCGTTATTGGCACACATACATAACCTGCCCTCCAAATATTAATAACTGCAGTCTTTCCAGATCTTTGTAGTGCGGGCACAATTAATCCCTGTTTAACAAGATGGGGAAACTTGTTAATGGGGAACAGTGTTGGCAACTGCAGCATGGAAGAGAGAAGAAAACAACGCTGGTTTTTAAAGGCCAGGCACACAGCAGTATTGGGGTGAAGTTTTAATTTATACCAAAGCCAATTTCACGGTGGTGATGAATTTCATCATTAACAGAGGTAGTCCACATCCCCATCCATTTAAAAACAAAATATGACTTCCAGGGACATGACAGGGCTGCAGACCCACTGAAGATAAGCTAAGCTCAAAGTTTACCAACTCTCCCTGTGCACGCTGTGGAATAGGCCCAATAAAGGAGATTACCTCTCCCCTAAAGCCTCGCCTCTCACAGCCTTTATGCAAGACAAAGATCTGCAGATTACAGACTATAGAGTGCCCCCCCAAAATAAGAGCTCTGCATGTAAAGGTTATCTTGCTGTTGGTAAAAGTCCATTTTTACACAGCGATAATTTCCTTACAGTGATTAAACCAAAACATTTATTCATTGTCTTTTAATTTCCGTTGCAGAGTTCACAGTTCATGCAACTCAACAGCATTCCAGACCTTTCTGCCCCTTATTTACATTCCACCTGCCATTCAATTAACGACACATTTGAGTTGCACACCTGCAATGCACCAAGCCCCTGGCCCCAACATCAGCTTCACATTACAGGTGTCAGCATACCAAGGAGCTCATTTAGCAACATGATGTTGAAGACAAGACAGCCAAGGAGTTTGACTGGTGTTCTGCAACCAGTTGTTTGTAAATGTTTGTACAAACCATGACCAAGTCCTGTTCTACTACCACTTGTATCTGTTTCATAGCCATTCCTGGAAATGTGTAATTTGAGTCAGTTTGTTTATAAAAAAACAAAAGCAAATAAACAAGTTACAAGCCTTTAAACATGCCTGAGTCAGAGAAAGTATTCACTTATCACAAATTTGCTTAAAAATAAGCAAATATTTTTTATATAAAATATGAAGAAAAATCACCTAACACACACACAGTAATGAAAAAAGTAAGTTCAAAACCTTTTCCTTGCAACAGAAAATGAAATCCTGAGACCAAATGAGATTCGATACCCCTGGTAGCCTTCCCCCTGCCCCCAAACCTCATAAGTTGTTTGTTACAATAAATCAAGAGAAGCGTTAGTAACCCAGCTTCACCAGTAGTAACAGCTAAGCTCTTCAGCCCAGGAGAGCAGCACCAATTTCCATTTGCCTTTCATCAATCATAGCTCTTTTCAGAATTTCATGTGCTGTGGGGGCTTTTCATATCTCACTCCCACATCCCTCCCATGACATTTCAGGGACTGCCTGGTTTGCTTCTCTCCCATTTCAGATTTCTCCACTCCAAACAACCGTGACACAGGAGGGTGGGCAGGCTGACCACAGCTTAGGATACCACTAGGTCCCAGCCCTACAACCCATGGAGTGGCCAAGAGCAGGGCAAAACACGAGGAGCAGGCTTACACATGGAGCATCTGGATGCACCTCAAAAAAAAACCATCAACAAATTATCTCTACAGGTGCCTCTAACTGCTAGGAATTCCATTTGCTTGTATCACTGGTTACTGCCCTTTTCTCTCTTCTCTTCATTCTGAGGGCTGTTTTGGTGCCACTTTATACTTCAGTCTTTGATAACCTTTCTGTAAGTGAAAGGTTCGCAATCCCTGCATTCAAGCAAGTGGAAACCTACCGCTGTTGCTTCAGTACCACACCTCTAAGCATACATATTATCAGACTGTATCTGGTATCATTCCTGCATCTCGCTGAGACCCTGAGCAGAAATGCTAAGTGCAGTTCCAGTGAGACTCAATTTTACTGCTGGCAGTTCACTTCACTGCAAAGATGTCCTGCTTCACCTTAAAAATATTATGCTACATGAAATGAAAAAGGGCTTAACAGAACAGTGTAAGTAAACAGACTGCAAACTAGGCCATGCTTAAACACACTGATCCAATACATTTTACATAATGGACTGCAGTGAGTCCTCAATAAGCATATGTTTAAAAAGTGTGATCGTTTTTTGTGTTTTTACATCAATATTTCTTCTTCTGTTCAATTGATACTACCTACACTTTCCATGAATCTACAAAGGGGGAGATTACAAATAAATATAGAAAAAACAATTACGTCTAAAATACTCCTGTAATCATTTACTAAAACTCGTATCAAAAAAGATGAGGAGTACTAGAACTGCAAAGTGCTAAACTCAATTATGGTTCAAGCTTCTCTATGAAATATTAAATAGGCTGAGCTTCAATTTGCACTAAAGTAAGGCTTATTGTCAGAATGAGAAAAAAATCCCCCATCTCTTTCCTCTCGTCAACTTGAAAAGCACAGACAACATCAAAGGTTTCAGTGAAGGAAAGCAATAGCTACTTAGGGAAAGTCATCTAGAAGAAAGTCACTGAAACCACTCCAAAACCTAAAACAAAAAGAACATGCTCCCCCTCCAAAAAGGGGAAGAAAGCCCGCAGTGCATCATTCTTCTCTGAAACCATTCACCCAATTAATCTGAATATTTTTTTTTCCTCTTCTCCTTCAAGTGGGATGAGCATCCTGTGTAAATTCCTTATTTTCAGCAGAAACAGAGGTTACTCTTCGGTTCTGTACCACCTAAGAATTATTTACAGGAGATCTTCACGCTAATGCTGAAGGAGCACTATGGAGAAAGGTGAGCTAAGCTATTAAATCAGTGCTGGGTTGAGCAGCGCGCAGTCACACCTTTTGGTTGGCATTAACTTAGGGACCTGTACCATGAGCTCACTTTGATAAAGATCTATATGGGCTACAGAAAGTTCGAGCTCCTATGAACAGTTGTTCCAGCAACAAAGCTGGAGCTATTTGGCACTTTCCATCAACACATGAAGGGATACACGCTCCTGTAAAACCTCTTTGAAACTTCTAAGCCTGCGGTTAAGAACTCGGTCTGTCATCTCAGAACAGGTGGCTGAACACGTTAAGAACAAAGAAACCAATTACACGATCAATAGGACATTCTGTTAAGCTGTCTAGCATCCCACTGCGCTGTTTGCACATCGCTACACAAAACACTCTCCACTCTCAGCGCTAAGGCTGCATGAGTGCTAGGAAGGCAGTGTGAAAGCTCCTTTGAGTACAGGGGCTTTTAAAACGGTCTCTGTCATTCCCAAACTGGCAAAACACTACAGTGAAGTCAGAGCACTGAGTACCTGTAAGTACTGAACAGCCTGCAAAGCAGCTACCCCAGCTTTTGTGTTCAGGCAACCTTCAGGTTTTATTAAATGTGGCTGAAAAGCATACACGAACAGAAGAGAAAACCAGTGAGGCCTAGAAGTGCTGCACAAAACCAGTCGGAAGGACAGAAGTGAATATTCTCTTCCACCTAATTCAGTCTGGGAAATCTCTGGGATGAAGCAAGTAGGAAGCAAAACACAAGAGCAGCTCTGGGATTTAATGCTTCTGTTTTAATTTTTTCCCTGATCATATTTATAAAGATATCACTGCTTATGATGCATAGATTGCTTTTCACATCTGATCAGATACAAGTATGCAGAATAGGAATTTAAGAAACATAATTACTTATGCTGATAATTTTCTTTAATTTAAGAATCTGACTATTTGAGTTAACCTTGTTCAGAATAAAAAACTGCTGCTCTTAACAAGAAGGGGCATGCACCTGCTTTCTTACACACACACAGTTCTAACTCAGTCATAATCACATATCTAATCCCAACAGCAGGAGGATGAGTTGAGTTTTAATATTGAAATTGAACAAGATTGCTCACTTCCAGTCATAGGGAAAGAGTTATGGATGGGGAGAGGAGAGAAGACGTCATCCAAGAAAGCCAGCACTTTAAGGAGCATTAATAAGACATGAGATGAAATCAAACAAAACATGCAAAGTGACAGAAACAGAATTATCACTTCTTCTGTAGTACATATAGACAGAAGTTAAAGGAACGCTACAGCTTTATTTTCTTTAAACACAGTAATTCCCACTAGTGGTGATACAGTAGAAAGTATGACAGTCAAAAAAAAAAAAAGAGCTGACACCAAATCATGAAAGTACTGTATTGTTTTTTTATTTGGAGTATCTAAGCCTAAGACTCCTCAGATCGTTACTGAAGATTCCTCAAGGAAACTAGAGAGCTCAGAACTGAGTCTCAGATGAGTGTTCTGTGGCTAGTTTATACAGCTATTTACCTGCTGCCAGCATTTAAAGATAGTTATTTATGCTAATGAGGAAATAATGTCAATCATTAATTGCAGCTGTTTCACCACATTCCTCCTCCAAGATGGTAAGCACCTGTACTTCCTCCTCTGAGGGGGAAAAAATGGAAGAGTTTGAGACAACTGAAAGTAGTCGTGGTACAGAGATAGACACGAAGAACCACCTTATTTTTATTTTAGAATCTTTGACAAACACAAATTGAGTCTTCACATCACTCCAATTCAGCCAGCCAGCCAACATACCCTGCAGCTTGTGAATTTCAGTAATTTCCACCAGATATTCTTTTATTTCCACAATTAACTACCTAATGCCAAACAAAATCCTAGTTTCCAAATGAATTTCCAGCATGATTAAAACTTTCAAACTTTGTTGGAAAACATTTGAGACACACCTCAGAGGTGGAAAAAAAAAAAAAAAAAAAACTTTCCAATGAAGCACTCCAAAACATATCGACAAGCTGTGTCCAATGCATTAAAAACAAACAAAATACAACAAGGAGAAAAAAAAACAAAAAAACACAGACATTATCTAACCAAATGACTTCTTCCTTCCAGTACAGTTCATAGTAGTTCTGTGTCCTACCACTTGACTGGCCTTTGCCCTTGTGATTGTTCTGTCTTCACATAAATGTCATACAGTTCTCTCAAATGCAACAACAGTTCCTCTAGGTTGTCTCCTGTCAATGCAGACAGCGCAATGACCCGGTCATCTATCTGCTCTTTAAGGAGTGGGAGATTAATCCTGGACTGAGCAAGGTCAATTTTATTCCCAATGACAACACACGGCCTCTCCGACAATCCCTTTTTGTATTGTTCCAGTTCATATTTTAAGTCTTGCAGCTGAATCCACGGCCGAGGCACAGAGAGATCCACCACATACAAGAGAAAGCGGCATCGTTCGATGTGCCTTAGGAAGGCCACCCCGAGGCCCCTGTTTTGATGAGCACCCCTTATGAGGCCAGGAATGTCAGCAACTACAGTGAGAGAAATTTCACAGTGAATTGAACACATTCAGCAACAACAAAGTCTTTCACTGTCCAGCGCAAGTACTTTCAGAATGACATCTCAATGAATCAATACCAGAGCATACCTCATGTTAAGTCTGGCTATCATGTTTTACAACCCCCAGATTTAGATTATTCCACTGAAGACAGGATTCAGATTGCTGGTTTGACATTAGGGGCATGTAGAAGTGAATGACAAATGGGCTTTCAATTGTTTTCAGCTACATTAAGCTTGAATTCTTGTTATTTTTATTGGACTTCAATAGAATTGCTAAACTTCCTCCTACAGCATTTCAAAGATAAAGCCACCTGACACCGACTGCTATCAAGGTACAGACAGCATCCTGTAATTTTTACCTGCCACTTGTTCGTAGTCTTCATAGTGGACAATGCCAACGTGGGGGTTGAGGGTTGTGAATGGGTAGGCAGCCACCGCTGGCTTCGCGTTGGACAAGGCTCGCAACAGCGATGATTTCCCAGCATTGGGAAAGCCCACCTGGAATTACAAGCATTTATTAGAGCCACGGTTCCAGGTTAACACAAAGGAGAGGAAAAAAAATGTAAGCTTTTGCAGATGTGGAAAGATTCTTTTGGCAAGAATATAACACTAATTTTGCATGCTTGGTTCTGAAAAGCAACTTGGTTTCCTTTATTTTTCCTAACTCCTCTTATTCATTCTCATAAATATTAAAAAGGTCAAAACACAGAAGGATCACCCTATTTTTTTGTGTGCACACAATACATAAGTATTTATTTTGTTCTGAGTCAAAACGGTATACCATAAAATCTTTTACCCTAAAAAAACATTATGCCTTTGTCTTGCAGTTCACATTTTATCCATTTTCTAATTGTGTGATTTATTATTTTCCAAAATAATTCAAAGTTAGTTTTGACCCTAACCAATTCAGTAACAGGTTGGCCTGTAACTAACCAGAACGCTTACAAGTCTGCAATCTTACCACTCTCAGTCTTGATATCCAAGAGCTTGGCCTTCCGAGGAGAAGACAATTTAAACAAACCTATCCTACAAAGGAAGTTACTCTGGGATATCCTAGAGTTGACATACCACAGATAGACAGATGGCCAGTAATCTGTAGATGGAAGTAGATCAAATCCTAGATTCTCCCATCTACTGATGCCAAACACACCGAATACTTGTCAGAGGAAATACAGTACAGAATTTTATCAGATTTCCAAATTTGGTCCACTTCTCACATTTTTGGCACCGAGTTTCCAGCTGGACATAGAATTAGATGTTTTGATCCACTAATGCTCTTACTCTAAATAAATATGTGAAATGATGCTAGACTAGACAGTTATTTTGCCCGAACAACAGCAAAACACTTGGCAGAAATGAGTGATTGTAACAGTTTTACCAAACAGGGTCAAAATGTTACCATAGTTAAATACAAAATCAGGTTAAGCCCTAAATTGACTTTGCACTCATGTCTAAATGGTATTTTTGTTTCAGAGGACGCTAAGCCAAGAATTAAAAGTCAAATGTTTAATACGTGAAAAAAGATAAATATGAGTATTAACTATAAGATAATTATAACTTTATATTTTATTAAAAAAAAAAAAAAAAAGAAAACAAAAGCTAATTTAGAAGAGTTCTCCACAGTCCATCTGCAGATTTTGCAGACAAAGCCTGCCGTACATCATCAGCAAATCTGTTAATCACTGGTGAATCTTGAGCACTGCTTTTCTATATCTACTGTTGATTTTAGCAGAAGTAGGATGACATTACATAGCAAGACAGTGACAGCTCTGCAAATCGCTTTGGACACCCTTCTACCAAACAACAGCAAGAAAGCATCAAGTCGTATCTCTAAACAAGCACGCCAAAAGGCTAACAAAAATGTTACCAAACATTATTTCTTCAGTCAGTCAAATGTCACTGTACAACGCTAAGGAAGTTGAAAAACCACTGCTACACTCACCAGTCCTGCATGAGCTGTTGTCTTCAGTTCCAAATGGAGCACCCTTTCCTGACCTGGCTCTCCTGGAGTGAATAACATCGGAGCTCTGTTTTCATTGGAAAGAAAAAAGCGATTCCCCTTCCCTCCAGCTCCTCCGTAAGCTGCAACGTACTCTTCACCATGTTGCGTGAGGTCAGCCACAACTACCCCGTCCTCCTTAACCGATGTACCTACAGGGACCTTAAAGTGAAGGGACATGCAATTCAGTGTAATGCGTACAAAGCCTTCAGCAGAACCAGCTAATCTCAGATTTGTCGAATGTTATATACATACAAAGCTCCTTGTAAAAATGTACACGAGAATTTTCTTTCACCCACCAGGAAAATCAACAATGTCAATATAAAGCTAACATAGCAGCCAGAACTTACCTTAACATACACGCTTGCACCATTGGCTCCGTAACAGTTTTTGCTTCCTCCTCTCCCTCCATGAACACCCTGATAGAAAGGGAGGACTGAGGAAAGCGATTTCATTTGCTGGTCAGCTGTAAAGCAAAACACGTGGATCTTAAATGTATTGTTTTAGTACAACAGGCAAAGTAGAACAACCTCTTAGCTGTTCTTTCCTTTCTGAATATCTGATTCACTGTGCCAATGTAGCATATCGAGGAATAGTGATATTAATTTGTGATTAAGTTTAACTGCCTTTACTTATCTTCCTAGGTTTGTTAACAACGCATTTCATTAAGTGGCCATTCCAAATTGGACAGAACCATCACTAAATACTCTGAGAAATGCATTTGACAGATTAACAGATTTTGCAGGAGGGCAATAGCAGAAGCAGCTTTATCTAACTTAAGAGTAAAGTTTGTTGGGTTACCATTACATGCAGGTACCAGCCACTAAAACTTCTGCAAAATACCATGTTTTTTAAAATGCTTTCTAGAGACTCTTCTAAGGCTGTTGCTGTCATTTACGTCCTTTTTACCATGGCTCAGGACAAAGCATAAAAAACAAAGGCAGCTTAGAGAGAAATTACCTTTCCCCCCCCCCCCCCCGCTTTTTTTTTTTTTTAGGTAGGGGACTAAGGTGTTAAAAGATAAGACAGTAGGAGACAAAACAGATTTTACTTCACTTTTACCTTTCAAAACAACGTGACCTCCATCACCCCCATTTCCACCATCAGGACCTCCAAATATTTTTCGAGGTTCACTATAAAAGGAATGACCGCCGTCTCCTCCTTGTCCTCCAACCACACGCACTCTCCGGTGATCCACAAAATAGCGTGTCTGCAAAGAGGATGAGGTTTGTGCCTTGTGAGTGCAGTTCATCAGAGTCATCTTCCAGCAAGCTGATTGTTCTACAGATTTCAATAATATGCAGACCTGCTGTTTTCTGTCATGACGAGTTCCACTGAACAGGTGAAAAATAACTCTGCTGTCATTCACAAATCACTTAAATATATCCTACTAAGCATAACACTGAAGAAAATTAGATTTTTAAAGTATTTTTAAGAACCCCCTTAAAATATTGAAAGTACATGCCAGAAGTTATGCTGATATAACCTAATAAAGCAGCTCAGATACAAGAAGTGCAGAACTCACATTAGGACAGCTAATAACAGGGAAAGTATCTTTTTAATACAGTTACATACTGCTAACACAGACGGTTTAAGAGAGCTACCACACCACAAACTAGAATCACCCAGTAATTGTGTTCCTATAAGTGAAAATCAAAATGGATAAAAGTCTTTTTAAATTGAACTAAAATTTACAAAGGGGACATCGTGCCCGTGGGGGAGAGATGTTCTCACAGCGATTCACTGCCTTCTATACCAGGCGATGAAAGTAAGGCAAACTTCAATCTTTGAACAATTAAGAAAACTATTATAAAGAAAAAGAATAATCTTATTTTCAAACATAATAAGTGGAATTAATTTTAATATATATCATAACCAGTTGCTTAGGGGGTAAAGAAGATACAGAGTGAAGAGGATTTCAGGTTCTGGCCCTGTTTCTGACAGGAACTCGGTACCTGACTTCTGGCAAACCAACTGTCCCACACTGTGCTTCAGCTTTCCTGTCAGCAAAGGAAGGTTTTGCTAATTAAATAGCCCAATGAGTATACGTGGGATAAAGAGGCATTGTTATATAAAGGTAAACAACTGCAAAAGTACAGAACTCTCGCACAACTCGAGTCACGTCATGCCCTGAGATTTCTTAAAAATCCTCTCTTAGAGAAGCGTTTGGCACCACCATACGGTAAAACAGGAAACTAACGCTGCCAACTGAAAGCGACGAATCGCTCGGACATAACAAATTCTATTTAAATCGAAGACCACGAGGGAGGAGCTCTCCGCACACCTCGTACACAAAGCACAGCCAGCCGGGCAGCTGATGCCACCCAAGGCACACCGTTTACCTCAGCACTTACCAGTTTCCTTTCCGAAATGGCTCTTTTTTGCCTCAGCCGCCTGTTCTTCCCGCAAGCGACGCGTGTTGTGGAGAAAGCCGGCTTCCCCAGCAGCAGCAGCCCCAGGAGGGGAGCGCCCCGGCCGCCCATGACGGCCCCACACAGCGCCATGGCTCCGCCACGGCCGCCACGCGCAGCCGCGGCCCGCCCCGGCCCCGGCCCCGGCCGTTGGTGAAGGGCGGGAAGGCGCCGCCCGCCACCTCCCCTCAGCGCCGCCTCAGAGGCCGCTGCCCTCACAGCGAGCCCGCGACACCGGCATAATGCCCATAAGGATGCCGCCGGGCGGCGCTGTTTGCCTCGGGGGTCCCCTTGAGTCTGTCAGCCCTCTCGCCTCGCTCTACCCAACGTTAATTGGGCGTTAATTAGGCACCCACCCACCGCCCTACAGCGCTGGAGCTGGGACAACCTCTGGGTGCGACCCCAAGGCATCTCCCCTTGCCCCTCTGTGGCTTCCCCTCAAGAAGTCTGCGTCGTAAGAAAAGCACCACCAACTTCATTTCCAGATCATTTTTAACCTAAACAATTGTCAAGCATTCTGTATTACAAAACAGAAGATGATACAGTTAATGGGAGAAGTCAAAATGCTGGCATCACTTTGTTTCCACATTGACACATAAAAATGAACAACACATTAAATAAACGTTTTGTTATTAACAATTAGAAATATTAACACCAAAATCATGTATAAATTAGGAAATAAATGTACAAACTATTTCCAAAGTGCTCTTTCAAATACATTATATACACAACATTCAAGAAGTTCTTAATGTAAGACATTTCAGATTGATGTGATGTTGCTGTTTCGTTTTGTGTTGATCGTATTCTCTCAAAAGTATTTCAGCGCTTTCAAAAACCACATAAAAAGGCATATTTCCAAGCTGGCAAAGAGCAATATTGCATTCTTCTGGCTACCTGTAATATTACCATACTGTAAAGAAAACAATCTTATTTCCTTTCCGTTCCTTGATATTTGAGAGTACTTATTTGTATGAAAACACCAGCAGGAAAGACGAGAGACATGAGGACTGACCAGAAATATCTTCTGTTTTATCAGTTATTAAAAATGCTAATGTTGCAAGGGCAGTGCTTGGACAACATTTGATAGCTGTCACATTTGGTAGCAACATTGATCTTTAGCTGTCCAGTTAAAAGATTTTCCTCTATAGGAAAAAAAGTAATGAAGTGAGAGTTTTTTTCATTTTACTTGTGGTCTTGGTTTTTCAAAATACGAAGTACCAAAACTCAAAATCCCATAAATACACCAGTTCAGACAAATGAAAGGAGAACATCCTACAACATAGGGCAAATGTACTCTATATTGTAAATTTTCAATTAATCTCTATTCAAAATTGATCACGGATTATAATCATCCTAGCCTTTTGCCACAGAGAAGTTTGGACATGTTACTTCATTCAGCAGTTATATAAGCACTTTATAAGTGCTTTATTCAACACTTTATAAGGACATATAAAACCAGAAGTGACTTCATTTGTTCATACTGGCTTTTACATACCACTAGTTCATATTTCTAAAATCTCCCTCTATAGGTATTCTCTCACTGGTTGACCCCATTAACAATTCCCCTCTCTATATGTATATTGTTTCACAATTCAAGATGAATTTAGTTGCTTTCCTGGGAAAAGAAAAAAAAAAAAAAGAATTTTTCTTTTTTCTTCTGAACTATTTCTGTCAAGGTACAAGAGAAAAATGAACATGATGTTTAAGCTGTAAGAACAGTAAACCATAAAACTGACAATATTTATGGTTATAATACTTGCTGGAAAATCTGAGCAAGGGCTATGGGAGAATCAGAAATAAAGGAGGATGCCAGCCACCTGCCTGTGAAATTTGGCATGAAAATGTATATATGCAAGTTGTAAAAATCGGAGTAGCATATTTAAGACCAGAATTTTGCCAGATGTTTTTCTCAGCTAAGCACAATATGAAGCAATATTGACATCTAGTAGGCTGACACTGCAGATCTCAGAGTTCCCTTCTATTTTTCTTTCCATAATAGAAACATCTTAGTTTATTGATATGCATATATAAAAGGTGGGCCTAGAGATTAATGTATTTTTAAATATAGGTTTTGATCATCTTTCTGTACCGTTTATAATAAAAACAAGGATTTATGCAGATTGTTGAATTATAAGACCTGGGTAGTTCGCTCTGGTAGGTATTGCAGAAATTGCAATTAGTCTTACTTTTATCACATAGCATGGAACTGTCTTCACATAAGGAATGTGACCTCCCCATTATTCTTAAGAAGTAAAGTCAAGAGCCATGGATTTCAGCAGCTGGCAGGTAATCTGCAATGCATTTAGTTAAAAAAAAGATCAATGACCTACCGTAGGATACTTCCTCGGGCTGAGATATGACTGAATGGCTTTGTATTTAGCCAGAATTCCGAACAGCCTGGCTGTCTTCTAGAACGGGGGGCACAACTGTGATCAAATGATCCTAAAGCTATTTAGAAACATCAAGAATGGGGGGGGGAAATTAAAAACTTCTGCATCGTATCAACATACAGTACTATACACAGCACCAAATATCAAACCATTAAAGCATTGTCTTGTTACCAGTAGTGCACTGCTTCATATCCAGCATGAAATGAACACTGTTCACATACAGACGCTGCTTTGTGCTAAGGGGTAACCAACATATTACAATTAATCAAAACTGTCGGTACATCCAGTTCAAAAGATGGATATACTATTGAAATGAATCTGACACAGGATCATATTCTTTTATTGCTGATAATTTCCATACTGTCCCTATAAAAAAAAAGAGAGAAATAAAGATGTTGGAGAATAACATGTCAGAGGTTTACAAACAGTGAGTTAATTTTCTGTTGGTTTATTAATGTTCAAAGACCCACCCAAGCATCACCAATATGCCTATACCAAATTATCAGATGGATTGATGTGAGGAGCTAATAGATCAATCTGCTTTCTTATAGGAGAGATTTAGATGATTTACCTGCTCGTAGCCATAAGGCCTCTGTTGCTGGGCGGATGGTCCCGTCTGAGAAGCTCTGTAACTTCCATATTGCTGCCCCTGTCCCTGTTGGTAGCTGGAATACTGTGAAGATGCTCCTTGTGCAGGACCTGAGAAGACAGTGAAATCTATTAATAGGGCTTGATTTGCTGGGGTGAGTTCTTATGGTTAACAAAATGTAAAACGTGATGGTAATAAAGCTTTGCGAGTATGAACTGTGAGTAGATTTTGCCTAGACTTCCACAAGTTGGTTCTACGTCCCTCTGGGAAATCCTATATTTCTCTGGTCTTCTAAAACGTTACCCTGAATCTACGGTTTTGAGAAGCATCAATAAGCTCCCAGCCACAACTTCCCCCTGCAAAAACAGAATAGGAGCAGAGTACTGAAGCTGTTGGAGTGTCAAACATTATGAACCTAAGAAAAATTAGCATATTCTGCACCTTCAGAAAGAAGAATCCAAACGTTAACATTAAAAACTGAGTTTTGGGTTTAATAGAAATGCTTTGCCTTGAAGCTAGTATTTAGAATATTCCCAATCTCTCCAGCCCATTTTTGTCCTGAATAACCTGAAATGGTTACTTGCTTTCAGAGACTCAGGATGCATGCAGCTGTCCAGAGAACTTAAAGGCAGCTATCAGACTTAATTTGATGACAATGGGGAACACAGCTCCTGGTGACCAGAACAGTTCCAAAGTCCTGTGCCAGTGTTAGCTGCATGTTCAAATCTCTTCCACATTTTTCTTTTCACCTCAGTTCCAAGTTTACCAAGGATTAACATGACATTGCAAGAAACCTAATTGAGGGAGTAGTGATTCTCCGGATTGTTGATGTTATTTTTTACGCCAGTTGCAGAACTATTTGATGTGTAGGAGGCCTGAGAATGCATACAGTGACCTCCTACCAAGGCTTGTCAGGAAGTCAACATGAGGCATGTGTACTGGGTAATTTTCTCAGTTTATCAAGAGAGAAGACTCAGGATGCTAACATAACAGTATGAAATGCAGTGCTCTGCTAATGATGTTACTGCCCAGAATTCCTTTTCATGCTATGCTGTTTGGCTATTTATAGCATGTAGATGTCCAAGGTTAATCAATAAAATAGTTTACACCATGTTTTAGATTAGGAGTGGAGGCATCGGGTTGAAGTATTGCAAACAATCGACCAGTCAGTGACAGTTTCCTTACCATATCCTTGCTGTTGTCCTGGGTAACTTTGTTGATTCGGGTATTGCTGCTGGGAATATGTTTGCTGTTGTGCAGCTCCCTGTTGGTATCCTGCCTGCTGCTGGCTGTACTGAGAATTTCCTAAAGGGGGAAAAATTGGAATAGTTTGGTTATGGATGAAGCAGGTATTTCATCATACATGTTAATCATAAAGAAAATAAGGGAGTGAGGAACGCTGGTGTGGGACCCATAGACAAGTACTCTTTTCAGAAGCAGATGTTTGCATTTTGCCAATCACGATGAGTTTATTTCTCTAGTGACTTCTAGGATTTTTGAATGGGAGAGAGTTGTTTATACACATCATTAAACAAGCAACCTGCTCCACCAGGATTTGTTTTACTCTGTGAGAGTTTCAGAGAAGAAAGAGTCAGAGCTACAAAGATAAGGCTTCCAGGGTAAATAGCTGTTTTTTCAGGAAGCCCTCCCACTGTATTCTGTTCCAGATAATGATGTTTATTCATACAGCCCAGACAGACAACACATTTAGTTGTTACTGATATTTTTAAAAACATCTACAATGGAAATTCCATTTGTGGTATCCTAAAATAATAATGAACGGAGACTATACGGAAGACATTGCCTTTCCAAATTGCCACCCCGCTGTATCATAATAAAGTTAATATTTTTACAGTTAATTTACAGGTCAGACGCCTTAATAGCATCACTGATTCAGTTTTGTAGTGGTAGAACTATAGACTCAAAATCTTGGTGATTTTCAAGGATCGGTTTCATTTAGCATGTTGTTTTTCACAATTTGTAAGGTGAATTAAGTAAGACCAAAAAACAGTTGGTCCTGGAATAAACCAGTAGGCTTTGTCACTCCAGGGAAATTTTCATTCAACTGCAGCAGACTAGTTTACCCTTAGTTAAGCATAACATTTTACTTTAATACAGCCATTTTTATTTGCACTCTATAAAATGCTCATTAAACAGTTTTATAAGACTAGAGCACACTCTCAGATCCTGGAAGTTTATTCTCTCTTTGCAAAAAAGGTTCACTATTCGTAGTGATAATTCCACCTGGCTCAACTA